TTCAAGTTTTTCAATGCACTTGAGTATATTGTATCTATCGCATCGCGTTCTTCTCCAGTTGAAGCATCATTCTCTGTAGGTCGAACGGGTAAGATTGCTGCGCACCCTTCTTCTCCAAGAGTAACGATTACAATCAGTTGAAACGACTGAGCGAGTTGATGTGCAACTGCGCGAGGATCTTGGGCAACAACATCTGTCGAAAGCTCGGGACCATCGGTATTGCCGTTGGAATAAATTCTCGGAATAGACATAGCGTATCCTTCTCGCAGTACAGAGTCGCGAACTTGCAAAACTTCGTGCTCATTTACAATCAGAATATTTAACATTTCTAGCGTTTCTGTTGGAATTGATTCATCAGCTGGCGCAGCGTTCAAAATCGATATTATACCGTTCTCAGAACAATATCGAACTGCCGCAAACACTTCACTCGGAGGTATTTCCATTTGCAAAAGCAAAGCTGCGGGCTTTTCCTTTTGCTTTTCAACTATTTCTATCCATTCTTTTGCATTGGTCGAGTTGTTGGCACTCGACCCGACGCAAATTTGATTCTCCCCTTTTTCATCGATAACCACAGAAGCTATCGCTGTTGCCTTCTCTTTCCTCATCTGGATGTGGTCTGTATTTACGCCGACGCTTTGTAAGGATTCCAAAGACTTTGCACCAAACTCGTCTTCTCCAACGCAACCGAAAAATGAAACAGACGAAGTCGATGATGATGATGACAACACTTTCCCGGCAGCGTGGGCTTGATTTGCTCCCTTGCCTCCGGGCGCTTTTTTTACATTTTCGCTCAAGACAGTCGTCCCGGGAGTTGGCAAACTCTTCGGGGAGAATAAGATATCAAACACGACGGAACCGAGAACGTGAAGTGAATCTCCTCCTCTCGCATCCTCCTCGCTTACTTTTTGACGCTTGGCGGACATGTCGCAGATGGTAGATTTTCCTTGCTTTTCGCAGAAAGGAAATTAAGAAAATAGCGGAAACGCGCGCTGAATCAGGAGCAGGAGAATGAGAAGAATGAGGAAAAGACAGATGAAAAGAAGAGAAAAAGAAGAGAAAAAGTTCATCACTTCACACAACTTCAACTCGTGTACAACAACAAACCAACTTTGCCTTGAATACCAAGACGAAGGACGAGCAGAAAGAGAAGTCGAAGAAGAAGAAGAAGAAGAAGAGGAAGACAAAGGATGGATATCGTTCGGAGTCCGCATCTTCTCCATCGTCGTCGTTCCCGGGGAGACGATGAGGACGAGGAAATGAGGACGAGGAAGAAAACGAAGAAGAAACAGAAGAAGAACTTTACCGAAGGAGACGATTTATTGGAAGACGAAGAAGACAAAGAAGAAGATAAGAATGATGAAGCGTTGCCAGATGAGCGCGTATCGCGCCGCGATGCGGACGAAAAGTGGAAGAGGAAGAAGAAAAAGGCTGGCAAACGCGTCAAAGAAGAAGAAGAAGAATTGGATTTTGTTGAACTTGGCGGCTTCAACCACGAAGAGAAGAAGGAGAGAAAAAAAGTCGTTTCCAAGGAGGAAATAGAACAGAGTCACAAACAATTGAAGAAGAGAGGCGTGGTGTATTTAGGAAGCATACCACCGTTCATGAAGCCTCTAAAGTTGCGCCAACTCCTCGAAAAGTTCGGTAAATTAGAACGTATGTATTTAGCGCCAGAAGATCCTGAACAGCGCGCTTTGCGAAAGAAATACAAAGGCAATACAGGAAAGAAGTTCGTCGAAGGATGGGTTGAGTTTAAGAATAAAAAAAAGGCTCGAAGCGCGGCAGAAATGCTCAATGGACAACCCGTTGGTGGTAAAAGAAGAAGTGCGCACTACTCTGATCTATGGAACATTAGATATCTCCCAAAGTTCAAATGGGATAACCTCATGGAGGAGATTGAGTATCAGAAAGCGGCTAGAGAGCAGCGCCAACGACTCGAGCTCGAAATGGCCAAAAAAGAACGCGACTTTTACATGGCGCGAGTAGAACAGGCCAAAATGATAGCATCTATGGAAGAGCGTCGAAAGAAACGCGCGGAAGAAAATCCTGATTCCGCACCAGAATCTCCCGAGGAGCAAATGAGAATGGCGAAGCTACGAGAAAAGCAAGAAAAGTCACGACTGCTTCGAACGTTTAAACAACGAAAGGCGCTCGATGATCCAAGCATAGATTCAAAACAAGGAATGATGAGTCTCGATATGATTAAAAGTCTCTTTGGCAATCCTATTAAGAAAAAAAGTGAAGTAGGAATCTTCCAGTAGTAGTGACAACGAGTGCGTGTCAATGTTTAGTGTAAGATAAAATATCCTCATCCGCAAGGAGCGTAAAAGCTATGAACTGCACCACGTCCTGGCACACAGTTTTTCTTTATTTCTTCGATAATGAATAAATTTTTACGCATCTATTCTGCTCAATTGTACTTGGAAATTCTCGCATGACGTCGAACGCTAACGCGTGTCTACTGAACGCTGCTTCTACCATCTCTTCGCTGGCGAAAATTTTCACTTTTGAATCTTTTCTACTTCGGTCGCGGCAACAAATGAAGCACTGCGGCGTTCGACTGCGCAATTTTTTCTCGCGTTCAAACAAAATGTTCAACGTTTCGCAGAAACAATCCAATAAGTCGGCGAGCCAAATACATTCTGCCGCAATTATGACATCAACAGCATCTATATACTTTTCTGACGCAGTCAAATGATGGCAATCCATGGGTTTCTCCCAGTTCAAGGCGACCGCTCGAGCCAAGCCACCTTGTGGGCCGATAACGCGATGCCAACCATTTTCTGTGAGAGAAGTACTGTTTTGAGTAATATTTTGCCTTAAAACACCCTCAACAACGGATGGGAGATCGGTGAGAGTGACGTTCGCTTCATTAGCGATTGCAACTGCTACTCCACACAATCCAACACCACTTCCAAGCTCCACGACATTCTTTCGCAAAGTCAGGTTGGGACACTCCTGTACCAGAAAATCTGTGAAAACGCTCGCTCCTTCCCAAACTCTAGCAAAACCAGTCGTTGCGGCGACGGAATATCCATCGTCAAAGAAGTACGGGTCGATTGCAAACTCATCCTCTTTGTCGTTTTCTTCTTTCCCTTTTTCTTCTTCTTCTTCCGTTCCCAAGAGTTTTCGATGGGAAATCTTAATAACGAACTCTTCAACTTCTTCTACGCGGCGTCTCGTTTCGCTCTCTCCTCCGAGTCTGCAAACATCTTCGCGATGCCGCCTGCTGCAGCGTATGCGATGTACATCTGTTTGCATTGTTCGTCGTCACTCACGGCATCTTGTGCCTCGCTTTTATCCACCCCCCCCACGAAATCTGTCTGGGCAGAGAAGAGGAATACGAGTAGACAGATTTGAGAGGATTTTTGAGGGAAAACTCACTCAAACAAACAAAAACAACTTTATTTTATTCTGGCCCTCCGTCCCTTTCTCTTAATTAGAAGAGAGAAGATGTCGGGTCGGCAACTCGCGAGGCGCACACTTAACGCGCTCGGCGCTGATTTTGCCGCTTACGTCGGTCTCAAACAGTGTTCGAATGGAATCTTCTTTCGAACGGTTGAGCTTTCCTCGTCCTCTTCGCCCCGGGCGGCGGAATTCTCCTCCTCCTCTTCCTCCTCCTCCTCCTCGAAATTAACGAAACCAATCAGCACTCGCGGAGCGTTCTCGACGTCTTCACAGCTCGCGGCGCCAGCCGCATCGAACGCAAAAAGAGTTCTCGGAGAAGTGCGAAATAATTGGACGAAAGAAGAGATTAGAGAGATGTACAGCCGGCCTTTATTAGAGCTCGTGTTCGATGCGGCGACCGTCCATCGGATGCACCACGACCCCAAACAAGTGCAACAGTGCACGTTACTTTCTATAAAAACTGGAGGGTGCCCGGAAACGTGCAACTATTGCGCGCAATCTTCCTCGTGGAAGAAAGAAACAGAACTTAAAGCAGAGAAATTGATGCAAATTGATGACGTTTACGAGGCTGCAAAACGGGCAAAAGCTGCGGGCTCGACGCGGTTTTGTATGGGCACGGCTTGGCGGGGACCTTCCCAAGTCGGTGAAGGTCAATTTGAACGCGTACTTACGATGACTAAACAGGTAAAGGATTTGGGAATGGAAGTGTGCGCAACATTAGGCATGCTCACGCCGGATCAGGCCGTGAAATTAAGAGAAGCTGGGTTGACTGCTTACAACCATAATTTAGACACGTCCCCTGAGTATTATCCAAAAGTTACTTCTTCGCGCAAGTACGAAGATCGCCTGAATACCATAGCTGCAGTTCGCGACGCTGGTATATCTGTATGCTGCGGCGGAATTCTCGGTTTAGGGGAGGAAGAGTCTGATAGAGCGTCTTTGATGCACGTTTTAGCAAGTTTACCGGAACATCCAGAGTCCGTTCCTATCAATGCTCTGGTCCCGGTCAAAGGAACGCCCTTCGAAAATCTTTCTGCTCCGTCAGGCTTGGAAATGGTTCGAGCAATTGCGGTTGCACGCATTTTAATGCCGAGAACTGTCGTCCGATTATCGGCTGGGAGAATCAACATGTCCGACGAGACTCAGGCTATGTGCTTCTTGGCTGGAGCCAACTCTGTTTTTACGGGAGATAAGTTACTTACGACCCCGAATAACGACGACAACGAAGATTCTGCCTTGTTCAAAGAGTTAGGCTTGGAGGGGAGACCTGCTTTTGTTCCTTATGGCGCCGGCGGGAAAAGTTCGGATGGATCAGAATGGGAAAAGAATGGGAAAAAGCAAGAGCAAAATGTCGCGTGAAGAGCAATGTAATATCTAATAATCCACGGTACTATCTATCTATTAATCTACTGTCTATTTATCATTAATCTATCTACCTGTTTTACAACTTGATTTGTAAAATACGTTTCATCATATCCGCGTTGCGGAAGGATGCAGAAAAACTCGCAAAAGTAAGATACACTTTTTCCGTTTGATTACGGAACACATAGGTAAGAACTGCGGCTACTCCGGCAAAAAACTCGGTGAGGCCATTCTCAAAGACTGAAGGAAACGTCTCGTTCAAAACCTTTGCCAAATTTTGCATTTGAGGGAATCCGTCCACACCTTCCGGGCGCAACAATATTTCCGTTCCAAAGAAAAGGGACGGGCACACAAAAAAAAACAGAATGTTCGTCACAGCGTGCGCGGCGCAGACTTTAAATTTTACCCTTGTCTCGAATTGACTTTGTTTCTCTGCTCCCCATGGTGGATCATCGAAAATTATATGGTTTCTGTATCCGTTTTCGTGAAATGCCAATCTGGAGAGAATTGAAACCGTATTCAACCACACGTGCTTTCTTTTAGGCGGACTCAACTTCGAATATTCCTCGGTGACTTTGAACGTTTTGTCGACCAGTTCCCAATGTTTTGAAATAGGGTGTCGGTAATGCAAAGGAAACTGGTACTGCAACCGTTCGAGCGTATAATATAAATGAGTGAGACGTCGATACGGGTCATCATTACTCGCTTTTGTTTTTATATCGTCTTTGTCTTCGTCCACGTCTATAAACCGATTTTCTTCTTGCGTTAAGACTCTTTCCTCTCTCATCCCCTCTTTGATTATTTCCTCCTCCTCCTCCTCCTCCTCCTCCTCCTCTTCCTCCTCCTCCTCTTCCTCCTCTTCTTCCGCATCGTTTTTGAGCGTCTTCTCCCCGGACGCTTCGGCGCTCATCGTGTTCATAAGAAGGTGATTGTCGTGCTGCTGCTGGTGTTGCTGCTGGTGTTGCTCCTGCTTCATCATGGGCGTCGTCGTTGTTGTCGTCTCCGTCTTAAATGAGTTCCTCATACCTCGTTGTCGTGAAGGCGCAAGAATATTGACATTATTCCGTATCGTCAGATGGCGATGCCCCTCTTCTGTAGTCGAGGAGAGCGCCGCCCGAAGAAGGCGTCGTTGCGCGAGGAGGTACCTCTTCATGAAAATGTTTTTTGTGTGCCGATGTGTGTGAAAAAAAATGCATGGAAAAGAGAACTCATTCTTGTAACTCTTCTGTTGAAAAACGCTTTGAGCAGCGTGTAGATGAAAAACGCACGTTTTTAATTACAATTTGAACACAAACAAACGCACAAGCACTTAAGTAAATCTTCCTCAGCCCTCTCTGAGTTTACTCTTTAAACTCTTTCTTTCGATTCTAGCTTCTTCCTCTTCTTTTTCTGGGCAACGTTTGGGTCGTAGTAGATGCTGCCGCTTTTTTCTCTTGGCTCTTTCAGTATATTTTTATTCTGCGCTTTCTCTCGTCTTCTTTTGTTTGGGTTGCTGCGTTTTTGCAAACGTTGCTGTTGCGGTAGACTTTCTTCTGGCGCGGGAAGTTCGCATCTCGAATGAGGCGAGTATTTCTTGAGCCACCAACCACGAATTTCGTTTTTGTCAATCGCGTCACCAAACTCGAGATACCAAAACGTTATAAAAGGCGTGGTTCCTTTCGCCCGCTCTTCAAATCCTTTCCTTCCTGGCGCCCAATAGCGATAAGGTTTCAGCTCGTCCGGAATTAAGAACAACGGTTCTTTCTTTCGACTGGTTATTTCGTTGGCGTAGTATGTTTTACGGCAGACAAAATTTGGGAGAAGAAGAAAGAAAGGTTTCTCGCTCGCCCCGCAGAAGTTCAATATTCGCTTGAAGTGGTCTGACGAATACGGAGGATTGGTAAGCAACACGTCATATTCTGGAATCGTATTTTTCTTGACGTTTTCGTAGAAATCTTCGTTGACGTTGTGAACGCTTTCAAAACCGAGTCGTTTCAAATGTTCCTTCGCAGATCCTTCACAGAAATACGGGTCGTATATTTTTAAACTCGCCTTCGTTTTCTTCAAACTCAGAGCGATTCGAAACAGAAAGGGTTCGATATCTTTGTACGCTTGAAAAGGAGTTTCGCAGTGGTCGCTCGCGTCCACATCGAAAGGGTGCGAAGAAGATTTCGACGGAGTAGTCGTGGTAGCTTTTAAGCTCAAATGCTCTAAAAGTTTACGGTTCTTACGCGTCGTCGTCGTCTTGTTCTTCTTCTTCTTTGTAATTTCCCTGCTCCCGTTGCTCGTCATCGTCGTCGTGATAGTGTACGATGAAGAAGAAGAAGAAGAGAGAAGAAAGATTTTTATTCACGCCTCCTCGGGTGGTGGGATCGCGAACAGTTTTGCTCGTCCGCGTCGTCTGACTCACGAACGCTCCACATCGACATCATACATTCTCTTTTCCTCTCTCTCTCTCTCCCAAAGTTTTATTCTTGTGTGCGTGTACTTTTTTTGACGCGAAAACGTGTCAATTTTGTGTGTCTTCTTTGCGACGCGATACCCCGCGCGATTGTTCTTCATAATTAATGGTATTGTGGCCCACGACGCACGGGAAGAAGAGCGATACACAAAATACTAATAACAATGGTTGATTACTCGAAGTGGGATAAACTAGACTACGGAGACGAGAGTGAAGATGATGGTGAGGACGATAAAAACGTGCCGCACTTCCCGCAGCAACCGCAGGTGACGAAACTGGACCAACCGACGAGAGTGACGATTGGAAGCGGCGAAAGCGTCGACTTCAACGTGCTGCCTCCTTCTGCGACTTCGTCCGAAGACAATCATCTTTCAAAAGACGAGAAGATGATGAGCGAACGCGAGTTCCGTGAGATGCAATGGATCGAGCAAGGTAAACAGTTTGAGCGCGAACATCCCGGCACGATAATGTTTCGAGAACCGCCGTCGTCGTCGAAAGAAGAAGAAGAAGAAAAAGAAAAAGAAGAAGAAAAACACGAAACAAAGACGACGAGTCTCTTTTCCGAAGAAGAAAAAGAGGAAAGAAGGCGAGTAGCCATCGCACGGAGGAAAGAAAAGTTCACCCGAAACGGCATTTACGTCAGGAAAAAAAGCAGTCGCGGTACGGAAGAGAACGAAAACAGCGCGGGAGAACTCGATTACATGTGGTCGCAAACCTCGAGCGATGTCACGCTTTCGGTATTGGCGCCGCTCGGGACAAAGGCCAAAGACGTTCGCGTAGATGTCACAGAAACTTCTGTTAAAATCGCACTGTGCAAAGAAGTAGTGTTCGACCGCGAGTGGGAACATCCGATTGGAGAAGAAGTGGAAGAATACGATGAAGAAGAGGAATACAACGCCAATGGCGGCTTGAAGTTTAACGAGTCCGACAAAAGTTTCACGCCGATTCGACGAAAGCTGACTTACGGCTCCTGGGAAGTTACAGATTACGACGAGAATAATCGCGTGATCCGAGTAACTGCGCAGAAAAAGAGCGTGGAGTTGATGCGTCACTGGTGGCAAAAGTGCTTGAAAGACGAAGAGAATCATGGAGAAATGCTAAAGCTTCCGGATCGATCGGCGTCTGCGAAGAGTTACGACTCAAAAAAAGTGTGGGATGACGCGCACGCTGACTTCAAAGCCCAAGTGAAAAACAGAGAATTAATCGACGTCGAAGTTGGAAAGTAGTACTAGTAACAATAGATATCGCAGGTTGTAACAACAGCAGACGCGCCGCGTTAGAGTTTTACGTTCAATTAGTTCTGTTTTGGTTTCTTATTTTACAACTTTACCGCCCGCCTAACTCTTTCTTTAAGCTCTTCTCCATGTCGCGTTCGACGAAGGGTCGAGACGCTGCTTTATCGTAGTAGCCGGCAAAAGTGTACACTCCACCCATGAAGCACAAAGCACCGACGAGCATACCCAAAGCTTCGTATTTTCCAACTATCTTCGCGGGTAAATTGTCCAGCGCAGTTTCTGGGTGCTTATCTCCCGCATCCCAGATCAGTTCGTGCTCTTCCTCTAAAGGCTCTGTTGGGGCAGGCGCAGTCCCTGTTGGCGACCCCATGCCTGCGTTTATTTTTGTCGTGGTCGCGATCGAGCGTTCTCCTCCCTTTCCCACGACTGCTGCGAATCTACTCCCACATCCAGAAAGAGCGCTACTGCTGTTGCTGCTGCTAAGGCTACTACCCAAAAGACGTCGCGAAGCGCGAAGAATCGAAGACATAATTATTTTATTCTTTTGAGTTGTGAGGAGTATGGTGTCTCTCATTCGTCAGTCAGAACACACAAAGTTTTCGAAGGTTTGTCGTTTCAAAAATTCCTTTTTTGCGCGAAAGAAAAGACAAGAAGAAAGATTTCTTATTCGCAAAAAAAGCTCGCGCGCAATTCGCGTCATTTTATATACACGCATCCTTGCACGCATCCTTCTTGCACGCACAACTCGCGCGCAAACAAATCTTTTTGTTTCTGTGAGCCTCGAGCGAGAGCGCGAGAAAATCGAAAAAGAGAGAGAGAAATCCCTTTTCTTTGTGTCTGTTTGTGTGTGTGTGTGTGTTTGAGTGCCTTTGTGTCAAGAGAAGTTTGGTCATTCAAAGATGGAAGGAGGTGCGGCAATTCGAGATAAGGCGATAAGCATAGTAAAAGAAGCGGTCAAAGAAGATAAAGCGGGAAATTATGAAACCGCTTTTACGCTCTACATGCAGTCACTAGATCATTTCAAATGCTATCTCAAGTACGAAAAGAATCCAAGGATGCAAGACACCATTAAAGGAAAGTTCAACGAATATCTCGAAAGAGCCGAAGAGTTGCATAAAATTGTAGCTGAGCAGAAGAATGCAACGGATCAAGCCACGGAATCGGGAAATCCTGAGGCTATGAAAGCACGACCAGGCTCGAACGGCGCCGCCACCACAAACGCTGGTGGTAGCACATCAAAGGAGGATAGCGCGGAGCAGCTTAAAATGAAACAACAACTTGGAGGCGCGATAGTGACTGAAAAACCAAACGTAAAGTGGTCCGACGTAGCAGGATTAGACCTCGCTAAAGATGCTCTGAAAGAAGCTGTCATCTTACCAGTAAAGTTTCCTCAATTTTTCACGGGTAAGCGAAAAGCTTGGTCGGGATTTTTATTGTATGGTCCACCAGGAACGGGGAAGTCATACTTAGCTAAAGCAGTCGCAACGGAAGCAGATTCTACTTTCTTTTCGGTGAGCTCGTCAGACTTGGTGTCGAAATGGATGGGTGAATCGGAAAAGTTAGTGAATAATTTGTTCTCCATGGCGAGAGAAAAAGCACCTTCGATTATTTTTATCGACGAGATAGACGCGCTTTGCGGGGCTAGAGGCGAGTCGGGTGAGTCTGAGGCGTCCAGACGCATTAAAACAGAGATACTCGTGCAGATGCAAGGCGTTGGTTCCGATTCGGCTGGGAAAGTTCTAGTTTTAGCCGCGACAAATACGCCGTACTCGTTGGATCAGGCTGTGCGAAGGCGTTTTGATAAAAGAATTTATATACCACTTCCGGAAGCGGCGGCGCGAGCGCATATGTTCAAAGTCCACGTCGGGGAAACACCTCATGACTTGACGAACGAGGATTTTGAAAGCTTGGGTGTGCAAACACCCGGTTTTTCTGGATCAGACATAGATCATGTCGTTAAAGATGTGCTTTATGAACCCGTTCGTAAGACGCAAGAGGCAACGCACTTTAAAACGGTCACTAAAGAAGAGGACGAAACAAAGGAGTATTACGTGCCCTGCTCTCCGGGAGATCCTTCCGCTTGGGCCTCGACGCTAGATGAACTTGCCAGCTTAGGATATGCGGATCGAGTAATGCCTCCACCCATAACGTTGGGTGATTTCAAGAAGATACTTTTGAGAGCGAGGCCAACGGTAGCGGCGGCTGACTTGGAAGTACACGAGCGGTTTACGAAGGAGTTTGGCGAAGAAGGCTGAGTGAGAAGAAAATGTCCTTGTCTCGAGAACGGGAAAAATAGAAGTAGTTTTGAAAAATGTTGTAACTTGCTCTGTGCTATTCGCGTAATTAGTGGACCGTTATATTCAACCGTTTCCCTTCTCCCCCACCACCACCACCCCTGTATGCGAGGATTGGATGACACACAGCATGCATAGAGTTGAATTCGAGTTTTGACCGACACGCACGACTGCAGTCTGGAACTCTGGATGCTGGGATGGTAAAAATTCAAAATAACTCGTTCGTATTTCAAAAAATTGTATCTCCTCCCCACACATCTTAGACTTCCGACATCAGATACGCCACTCATACACACATACTCACAAAAAGGAGACGGAAAAGATGTCGTCCGTTCCGCCCACATCCGCTAAGAAACAGAGTTCTTTGGCAGGATTTTTCGAGAAGAGGAAGGCTCAGTCCTCCGAAGATGGCGCCGAAGCGCGCGAAGACGACGACGCTCGAGAGGAAGTAGGAAATCAGAAAGAACAACAACAGACGACGGAAACGACGACCACGGCGACGACAGAGAACAATTCGCCTACGCAACAGAAAGAAAACATCGAAGTTGCCGCGAAGAAGCGCAAACTAGTGAAGAAATCCGAAGTTCTCGACGCAAACGCGAAAGCATTGTCCTTTGCAGAACAAGCAAAGTTGAAATTGGAACAAAAGCAGCAACAACCAAAAACATCAGCAGCACTTAAGCAAACGGAGGAAAAAGAAGAAGATGAGAAAGATGCAAAGAAGAACATCAGCGTTGCCAACGTGAGCGATGAAAAGGATGAAGAATACAAAGCATCGCGTGAATCTGATGACGAAGAAGAAGAAGATGAAGAGGGGGAGGAGGAAGACGATGATGATGAAATCGAAGACGTCGAAGGCCCACTTTCTGCTTCTGTTCAAAAAAAAGCGAAGAAGAAAACAAAGTCAAAAAATGGGAAGGAAAAATCTGAAGCCGGCGTTGGAGCCTTACAAGTTGAACTTGCACAGAAGTATATCGACCAATCATCGGAATCGATCTCATCTTGGAAGGAGAATACGGCAACACCATTTGGAATCGTTGCGGATACGTTTGAAAGTATTGCCGAGACAACGAAACGATTGGAGATCACGAACTTGTTGACGAATACATTCAGATCTATTATTCGTGGTGGGTTATCTGGAGATTTGCTCGCAGCAGTTTACTTGGCTTCAAACACGATCGCGCCGCAACACGATGGTATTGATCTCGGTATAGGAGATGCGACTTTGATTAAATGTCTGGCCGAAGCAACTGGGCGCAAAGAGGCAAACATAAAGGCTGACTACCGCGAGGCTGGCGACTTGGGTTCTGTTGCCATGGCATCCCGATCGACGCAACGGACAATGTTCCAGCCCGCACCGTTAACGGTGAAAGGCGTCTTACAGGAGTTCCGCGTCATAGCTACTACAGCAGGAACGAATTCAGTCGATCAAAAGAAGGGACGAATTAAGAAATTACTCGTTGCCGCCAAAGGCAGCGAAGCTGGATACATAGTGAGGGCATTACAAGGAAAGTTACGCATTGGTCTGGCTCAGCAAACCGTGAACGCTGCTCTTACGCATGCTATCGTTTTAGAAGCAAATAAAACTGCAGGTATAAAGCTAGGTGCTAATGCCTTGGCAGATCAACTCCTGAAAGCCGTGGATGTTGTGAAGCTTGTTTTCTCGGAATGTCCGAGCTACGACTTGGTTGTCCCAGCGCTCTTGGATGTTGGCATCGACGGTCTGCAGGAGAAATGTCAATTTAAACCAGGTGCGCCAGTGAAACCAATGTTGGCAAAGCCAACGACCGGTGTGGCGGAAGTTTTGAACAGATTTTCTGACGTTGAATTTACGTGCGAATATAAGTATGACGGCGAGCGAGCTCAAGTGCACTTGCTCGAAGATGGATCGATAAAGATCTTCTCCAGAAATCAGGAAGATAACACGCCAAAGTTCCCTGATATCGTTTCGAAATTCAAAAATTACTTGAACAACGTAGACGGGAAAATAACCTCAGTAGTCATCGATTGTGAAGCCGTGGCGTACGATAGAGAGCAAGATAAGATTCTTCCTTTTCAGATTTTGAGTACTAGAGGAAAGAAAAATATCAAAATTGAAGACGTTAAAGTGCAAGTGGCGTTGTACGCATTTGATTGTTTATATTTGAACGGAAAATCGCTCTTGCGTGAACCGATGAGCGTTAGGCGTCTTGCGCTTTATAGTTCATTCCGAGAAACGAAAGGTGAATTCCTGTTTGCCACTGCAAAAACGAGCAGGGATGTGGAGGAGCTGCAGGTATTTTTGGATGAATCCATCGCTGCGAATACCGAAGGTTTGATTGTAAAGACAATGGATGCTACATACGAACCCTCCAAGCGCTCATTAAACTGGTTGAAGTTGAAGAAAGACTACATGGAAGGATGCGGAGACTCGTTAGATTTGGTCCCAATCGGTGCTTGGCATGGCAGAGGCAAAAGGACAGGGGTGTATGGAGCATTTCTTCTCGCTTGTTACGACGAAGATGGAGAAGAGTTTCAAACGATTTGCAAAATTGGAACTGGCTTTTCCGAGATCGATTTGGAAACCTTGTCGAAAGCGCTTGAACCGCATTTAATAGAAGCTCCACGCTCTTACTACAAATATCCTGAAGGTATGGAACCTGACTTATGGTTTGACGCAAAGTTAGTTTGGGAAGTGAAAGCGGCTGATCTGTCGATCTCTCCAACGCACAAAGCTGCCATGGGTTTAGTGGATCCAAACAAGGGTATTGCTTTACGTTTTCCGCGCTTTTTAAGAAGTCGAGACGATAAAGAGCCGGAAATGGCGACTAACGCGCATCAAGTTGCAGATTTTTACAATGCTCAGGCAAATAAGCAAACTTTTGAGAAGGAATAAACTTTTTTTAGCTCGCTTCAGTTGCGTTGGATACAAACACAAATACTATAAAAACTATGCGACAAAAAGAACTATTCAAGACTCAACCGCAGGCGATGCGAAGCAGCAAGTGAAACCACTGCTGCTTTTCTTCATCGATCGTTCTACTTTTACTACTTTCTTCTTACCACCAAGACCGTTCGCGTTTGAGGCATCTATACTTTGCTCCACCACCTCAAAGCTAATGTCTTTTTTCATTTCTTCCAGATCACCATCTAACTCATCTTCCTCCTCCTCTTCGTCCCTATTAGAAGAGGAACCACCAAAGCCGCTAAAAGATAAGATACTATTAAATATGGGTGTCAGCGGAGCTGCGAATGAATCAATATCTAAGATCTGATTTTGTGAACTTCCTGCGGATTCGTTGAATTCAGTCGACGCCGTCGCAAAAGATGACTCGCTGTCGTTATCGTTTTCGTTATCTTCTGTCTTAGCTTTTGATTTAGAAACTTTTGCACTTTTCTTAGCGGATCCTTTCTTCAAAACATCTCGCTTATGCTTGAGCCATTCGTCGCAAATTTCTGGCAACTGCTCGTAGGATTTCCCAATCCCGTTTACGATTATGTTCTCAATCAGTCTACCGAGAGAACCGAGCGTGACGTGACATAAACCGCTAGCTACGACTTTACACGTTGTTGCTGTTATTGGAATTATTGATATCACCCCGTCTACTACGGCATGTTTTGTGATATTATTCACCGTTCGAAACATTGTCTCGTGCGTCTTCGTCTTCCCCTTCATAAAGTCGTCAAGGGCGTTCGGTGACGTGCTGCGCGTGTCGACAAATTCGACGTGTCCACCTTTCAATAAAGGCTTCACTACCATCGGAAGTTTTATCCCCGGGACAGTGCGTACGACCGTGACGAATCTCTTTTCTTTCTCTTCTCCATTTTTATCTAAATCTACGAGTTCAACGCCCGTCCGTAAAGTTTCAGCCTCTTTTGTTCCCACTCGTTTCATGTGGAATTCGCGGAAATCCTCCGTATCTTTGTCCACGAGGAAGACTGTCGCCGGACAGTTCAACTTCGATTCAAACGTGAAGCGCTTTCCAAACTCTTTTCCTTCGCCCATGATCGTATTCGTTTTTCTCGAGCGCGCGTGCGTGTAAGAAATAAATAAATTACAGGTAGGCGCTGAAGCGCGCGTTCAATCAAAAAGTAATCTCGATTACTTTTCTTTCGATTTGTGGCATTTGAAGGAAGGAGAGTGCGTTTGAATTCCTGCACCAGGGAGGCGGTCGCTCGGTCCCCTCTTTTTAAAAGAAGCGAAAAAATTGCGAAAGAAGAAGAGCGAAAAGGCAGAAAAAAATTCAAAAACAAAACATCTTTCATTGAAAAGGGTGCCCTCATACATCACTTTCCTTTTGTGCCCGCCAAGAAAAGCGTGCGATGAAAATCGAGAGGTGATGAGTAATAACAGTCTGACCCCGATAATGACGCGCTTGCGAATGACGTCCTTACGAGAAAGTGGTGGCGAAGAGGGGGGGGAGACGAACACGCCGACGACGATGGTGAATAAGAATTCGAGGAAGAAATCTTCTTTGCAATTTTCTCCGGTTTCTGTTTTACTAACACCGGATCTGAGCGTCTCCACGGAGAAACAGAATAAGACGAGTGAGAAGAATGCGACGACGAGAAGGAGGGTTGGAGGAGAGAATGAGGAAGAAGATTTGATCTCTCCACGTTCTCCTACGCCAGTGTCCACGTTATTCAAAAACTCCCAGGAGGAGAGAGAGCCTCCTCCCTTAATTCGTCCAGTTATGCACCGACCAAGTTTTCCTGATGAAGAGGAAGTGAAGCCAGAGGATGGCTTAATGCGCATGAACTCTTTAAACGAAACAAAGTTGTTAGCTGTTACGAATCTGAGACGTCAAAAATCAAACTCCTTGCCTTCGAACTTTCGCTTCGATGCCCACTTTCGTTACGAACGCAGATTAAGTAGAACCGTAAACGCGGAAGTATGGCTCGTGACCGGTCTGGAAACGGGAGAACCTTTCGTCGTAAAAAAACGGCACAAGCCCTTCACGAGCGATTCAGATCGAAGATCCGCGATGAGAGAGCTCGAGGCGGTGGCGAATTTACCCGAACACGAGAACGTGGTGAAAGTATTCCGAGGATGGCAGCAGGAGCGCCTATTCTGCATCCAATTTGAATATTGTGAGTGTGGCTCGCTCGGCACTGTTTTGCAGCGATTAAGACCAGGCGTTGTATTAGAAGAACGCGATATATGGCGTTTAATTTATGAGGTTGGGAGTGGATTGAAACATATCCATTCGCACGCAGTCCTTCACTTAGATTTGAAACCAGAGAATATTTTCATTGATCGTCAGGGAACATTCAAAATAGGCGATTTTGGCTTAGCATGGGCACCTGGTCACGCGTGGCGCGTTGAAGATGGTGATGGAGGATACGTAGCTCCAGAGTTGCTGAATTTGAATGCTGATGCGAAACCAAAACCTTCGTGTGATATTTTTTCGTTCGGTGCTATGTTGTATGAAGTCGCAACTGGAAGGAAATTCCGCGAATGCACTTCAAGAGAAGAAAAAGATTCAATTCCGAGGGAGAGGAGTCTCGCTTTACGGAATTTAATAATCATGTGTCTGCATAGAAACCCAAACATGAGACCATCTGCCGTTGAAATCGTCAAAACGGCAATAGAAAAATTGTAATTTTAAGAGCGGAAGCTGTATTTTTTTCGTACCTGGTTCCTATTCCTGTATCTATTCTATTTCTACTACAACGGTATCTTATTTGCACTTTCTTATCAAGCAAAAAGAATAGAAGCGAGACGCCTTCGCGTTCTTTCTGCTAAGGCGGAAGTCGCACCAAAATTTATGGAATCGATGACCTCAACGCATATTTCTCGACCGAGTGTTTTCAAATCCTCTTTCCCCTGGATGTCGCTTTTTGATTTGAGTAAATCGAGCGAAAAGTTGCATGCTCTCTCCCAATCTGATACTACTACAGAAGCTAATACCGCTCTTAAACTCAGCTCGAAAGACTTCGCTTTGCCTTCTTCGTATTCAAATATGCATTTCGCATGGTCTTCAAATGTTATATTATGTTCATTCGCACGAATTCTAAGTTTCAGGCGAGCGCGAGCTGCGATGGCAGGGAATGATACTTGAGGTGCTCCACTTCCTTCCTTCTTTGCTTCTGCTGATATTTGCTCCGCAGCGTTCACCAATGATTCAACACTTTCAAGGGAAGCTTTGTTTTCGTTCAGCTCAATCATCGCCAAAGCACTGTATATTTCAGCCTGTAGAAATGCAGGAGCCGACCGCATAGAAGCTTCGGAATTTGTGAAAGCGATGAGAGCAGCTCTTTGCGTCGCAGAACTCGCGGAACTTCCTTCTGCCAAGCCTTGTAAGGCGACTTCAACCTTTGAATGGATGGATGCGAGATCAACCACCTCCGAGGTGCTCTGAGCTTCCTCGTCTTCCAGAAACTTACTATCCTCGTGATTTTCGTCTTGTGTGTCTGCAAGCACTCTTTCAGCCGCTCGCTGGATAAACTTTTCGCACTCGTCTTCGTTTATCACGCCTGCGAACTGTTCGACGAGCGTGCTCTTATGAAAAAGCATCACTGTCGGGAGCGAACTGACTTTTAAAGCTTCCGCGATATTCGGAAACAAATCTACATCAACTTTCACCATCTTAATACTTCGAGATTTTCCTTCCAGAGCTTTCACTAAACGCGGCGTTAATATTTTACAGGGGTTACACCAGTTCGCATAGAAATCTATGATTATTGCTTTCCTCTCAGATTCAACTCCTATGAGTTTCTCCAACTCCTTAACGTCTTGTATCTCGGAGACGTCCGCCCCGTGAGTCGACGTAGAGGAGGCAAAACATCTCAAATTTGGGATTGTATTTGCCCTCAAACTGTGCAAAACTGCGCGACGCAGCATGTTTTGTGAAGTCTGACCCCAACTGAAAATGAGATTTGTAGACAACTCACTCAGCGACGCCAGGCGAGAGTTCAGGAAAACGCGCTATATTTCTCTTTCTTAAAAGTAAAGTTATTACACTACACGATGCACGTGTAGGAGGTACTGTTCCATTTATTATATTATAATACTAATACTACGCGACTACGTGGTGGTATTCTCAACGATATCAAAAATATGCGCTCTACGTGGTCAAAGTTCGTGCGGTTCTCTGGGTGCTGCTTTTAATTTCTCATCTTTTGTTGCCCATCATACCCATCATCTTATTCATCATAGAAGGATCCTTCTCCATCTGCTGCATCATACTCATCAACCCTTTTTCGCCACCGAACATGTTGCGCATTTGCGGGGGTAACGCTGACATCATTTGTGACATCTGCTGCTGCATAGCTTGCTGTTGTCCATGTCCTCCTCCTCGACCCCGTGAACCTTCTTTTGGCATTTTCATCCCCTTCATCCCCTTCATCATTTTAGCCAACCGCTTAAATTCTTCTAGCAACTCTATGTATGCCTGTGGAGTTTTCCCAGCGCCTCGAGCAATACGAATCATGCGCTTCTTGTCCGTTAATATTTTCATATTGCAGGTGTCTAGCTCCGTATCTGACATAGAATCCATCAAACACAACATTCGTTTAATTTTAGCCTGGCCAGCTCTCTCAGAACCTTGCGGTAGCGCATCTGCCATTCCGGGAATCATCGACATGACTTGAGACATTGGTCCCATCTTCGTTATATTTTGAAACTGCTCGTACAACAAACGCATCGTGAACTGCCCAGAGGTAATGCCGTCGACTAATTTCTGCCCTTGGTCTTCGGGGACCACGTCAGATAACTTTTCCATTAAACCTTGCCAATCACCAAGTCCAAGTAAGCGCGAAACAAAAGGTTGTGTATCAAACGCTTCGATGTCCTCAAGATGTTCGCCAGTACCAACAAAAATAATAGGAGATTTAGTGGCCGCTACTGCCGCGATTGCACCCCCGCCTTTCGAATGGCCATCCGTCTTCGTCATGATCACCGCACCAACATCGACTGCGGATTTGAAAGCCTCCGCCTGATCTTTCGCCATTTGACCCATGGAGGAATCCATCGTGTATATAGTCATTGTTGGATTTACGGCCTCGTCTACAGCTCGCATCTCTTCAAAAAGAGCCTCGGACTGCTTATGTCTACCTGACGTATCTACTATGATTAAATCAAACTTTTCTTCCTTGAATCTTTGCACGCCTTCGGCTGCTATTTTTGCTGGGTCTGACTCGGTATACGAGCCATAAAAAGGAATTTTAGCTTTTGTCGCATTCTGCTTCAACTGATCAAAAGCACCCGCACGAAACGTATCTGCGCAAACTAATGCTGGCTTAAATCCTTTCCGAGCGTAATAACTCGCATACTTTGTGCACGTTGTTGTCTTACCGCAACCTTGTAAACCCACGAACATCACGACGTTTGGTTTTCCTTTCTTGGGAACAAACTTTGCCTTCACTTCCGATTTTGCGTCGCCCCCGTCAAGCATATTACACAGCTCGTTGAACACAGCTTTTTCCAACATCTTCTTCGCGTTGATGCCGCCGGCGAGATCATCGATATCTACAGCTTTCACGATATTTTTCTTCATCTGAACGACGTACTGGACGTTTACGTCTGCGGACAGTAAAGCTTTTGTAATTTCCTTCAAGACATCTTCCATAATCTCCTCATCTATGACGGTGTGCTTACTCAACGAGCTCAAAGCGTTCGCTAACTTACTCCCAAGATCGTTGAGCACCATGATTGCGTTGTTGTAACTTTTCCTTATTCACTTTTCCTCTGTTTCTTCTTCTTCTTCTTTAACTTCTTCCTCTGTTTCTTCTTCTTCTTCTTTTTTCTTTTTATTATGAGGACTTTTCTGCGAGAAGCGAGAAGCAGTGTGTGTTATGTGAAAAAGAGGACGGCCAGGGACGGAAAAAACAGAGCAGCAAAGAGTGAAAACAGAGGAGAGAGAAAGAGAGAATTTTTGAACGAAGAGGCGGCGGAGAGGCCCCCATACACATAAAAAAGAAAAAGCGAGAGTAATCTTCGTTAGAATACTAGCACATAGAAAGTAGAAGTTCTATCACACACTCGCACAAACAGAGACAGATACAAGTAGATCAGATGACGACAACTACAACTATGGCGGATAACCCCGTCTGGAAAGCCGTGAAGCCATTCATGAACGGTGGTCTCTCAGGGATGGGCGCGACGTGCGTGATTCAGCCGATCGATATCGTCAAAGTTCGATTACAACTCGGCGCTTCTGGGGGACCTATCGGTGTTGCCGCCGGGATCATCAAAAACGATGGTTTTGGTGCCCTTTACACCGGTTTGTCTGCCGGTCTGTTGCGTCAAGCGACGTACACGACGGCTCGTCTTGGTATCCACGCTGAGCTCGTGGATTACCTGAAAAAACAAAACAACGGCGAGGCTTTGCCGCTCGCGCAAAAAGCCGGAGCTGGTTTAGCGGCCGGTGGTTTAGGTGCCATCTTTGGTTCACCTGCAGATTTATCATTGATTCGTATGCAAGCGGATAAAACATTACCTGCCGATCAAAGAAGAAATTACACTGGTGTTGTTCACGCTTTGAGCGACATCGTCAAGAACGAAGGCGTTGGAGGTTTATTCACTGGTGCGAGCACCACCGCTATTCGTGCAATGGCTCTCAATATGGGTATGCTTGCCTCTAACGACCAAGCGAAAGAGATGTTAGCTGAGCAAGGCTTCACCGGCTTTCCGAAGACATTCATCGCATCATCCATCTCTGGTTTCTTTGCCTCCTTCTTTTCGTTACCTTTTGATTACGTTAAGACGATGTTACAAAAGCAGAAAGTTGATCCAGTGACGGGTAAATTCCCATATTCTGGTATGGCGGATTGCGCGATGAAGACGTTTGCCGAAGGTGGTCCGCTGAAATTTTACACTGGCTTTCCCACGTACTATGTGCGAATCGCCCCGCACGCCATGATTACGCTCATGGTTTTAGATTCCATTCAAAAGTTTCAGAAAGATAACGGGCTTTAACTTGATTGAGATATACCTTTATATACATGCTAATAAATAACACACATCACATAGATAAGCTAACGTTTGGTTGAAATAACGAAAAGCATTTTATTCATCATCTCACCAACAACGCGTGTATTATTGCTTTTTATATCTCGGTTTTCTTTTTTCTTCTTTTGTCTCTCTCTCCACTTTTCTCTCCGGCTCACAAAATTATGAGGTGAGAAGGTGGAAGGAGAAGGAGAAGGAGGAGGAGGGAATATTTGAGCATGTGGACGCGGCGGTGCCTCCTCTGTACTCGAATCATCGTTTCTTTCTTCGTCTTTTTCTTCGTCATTTTCGTAGTTCGCGCGGAGGAACTCGAAGCAATCGCAAACGGAGAAGAAGAAAAGGAAACATTGTTGAATAAAAAAAGAAATTTTCCGGAGGATGTCTCTGGGACGTTTAAAGGCGCGTGGCACGCTTCATCGACGAAGTCGTTCCTCACGCCTTTGCGTGAAATTCCCAATAAGAGATACTTCGCCAGCGGTTCGAAGGGAATTTTACAGGTGCAGATGCGACAACAGAAGAAGGACTCAAAAAACAACTGTTTCTGGGTAGAAGGAGACTTGTTAGTGCGAACGACTTCGGCTCCTACCATGCACGTGAATTTCGCCGGAGTGTACCTTAACGCCACGGGAATAATTCACGCTCATGGACAGAGTAGAAATCTAGAGCATGTATCTCTTGATAATTCAAACGAACAGAGTTTTTATCATTCAGATTTTAGAGAGGCGCTCAGAACTTCGGCTTCAGACTTAGCATGGGAAACGGCACGGAGGAAGGACGCAAATGCGACACGAAGCGAAGATAAAGAAGCTAGTAACGATACAGAAACAATTTATGACGTAATGCGTCGTCGACAACGAATAAACTCGTTATTTTCGGGACCGTTAAACACCACGGCATATCCTTCTGCATGTGAGTTTGCTCTTAAGTTGTTCATCGAACCAGGAAAATATTCGCTTCTTGAAAATATTGAAGACAATATTGAAGTGAGATCGAAAGTAACCGACGATGAGATGAGAGAAAACGAGTACACACCTCGTAGAACTGCCTTGCCTGATGCATCTTTCGATGCGGTTATCACGGGGACTTTAGTTTCTGAAAACTGTGGCTTTGATTTTGTCCTCAATGCAACAACTTTTAAGATGCAAGAATATTACGCAAAAGCAATCAACTATGGATACATTGCAATAGCAACTGTTCTATTTCAGTTGTATGCCCTGGCGAAACAAGTTGAATATGTGGGTAATACGCAAAGTTCGCTGTCAAAGCTCTCCATACTATCGCTTGGATTTCAGGCAATATTAGATGCGTACCTCTGTCTCGGTCACCTGATCTATGGAATGGTGGTCGAAGAAATATTCTTACCTTTTGCCTGCATAGCTTTTCTAGAATTTATGATGTTTTCCGTATTTGAGATGCGATTACTGTTGCACGTGTGGAAAATACGAAACGCTTCAAATAATAGTAGTTCGTGGATTGACTTGCGAAGAGAGCTCTCCACTTTATATGGGAAATTCTACGCCGGTTTCTTTGGCGGGGCATTCTTGATTTACGTTATGCAAAACTTTCAGACATTTTGCGTTTTATTGTTGTCCTCATATTGGCTCCCGCAAATTCTGTGGAATTTATACTCAAATTCGAGGAAACCCTTCATACCGATGTATGTAGGAGTAATCAGTATAACTCGAATTTTTGTTCCGTTATACTTTTATGGATGTCCGAAAAATTTTGCTCGAAACGAGCCGAATTATGTCTTGTGCGCATCTGTCTCTTTGTATGTGTTCGTGCAAGCGTTCATTTTATTTGCTCAACATTATTTTCATCCGCGTATTGTTACATTCAAATTAACTAAATGGCTACCGGAAGTGCACAATTATCATAAGAGTTACGTGAAATTTGGAGATTGTTCTATTTGTCTTAGTAATCTTAAAAGTGAGAGTGAGAGTATGTCTCCAAACGAAATGCAAATGCATGCGCCCTGCGGTCACGTTTTTCACGCGCATTGCCTTAGTAGATGGATGGATGTGAAATTAGAATGCCCAACTTGCCGTGCGAAGTTGCCACCAGTGTAATTATTTAGATGGAGAATTAAAAGGAGCGTATGTTTAGATTTTATTAGTGAGGGTGAAGCTATAATTGTATTTATTTTTACTATTCCAATAACATGGCAGCTTTGGGATTGAACCAACCCCCTAGAGCTCCAACTATAGATATAGCCGTGTAACCATAAGCTAAAGTACTGGCTGACAGCTGAGCACCTCCCCAATACGTCGTTATAAATGCACCTAGACGTGCAATCATGTTACCGTAAGAGTGTCCCGTTGCGCGAATCTCTACTGGATATGCCTCTGCACTAAGGAGCCATGACGCTGATCCAGATATTGGCGCAGCCGCCCGGGCAATCATAGCAAATACTAAAGGTAATGGTACATTTGGTTCAACTAGAAGTGGCAGCGCTACACCAAATACAATAAATGAAACCGTGCAAACCTTTCCACGAGGCATATATTCAACCATGAAAACTCCTATAATGGTTCCACCAATCTCTCCCAGACACGAATATATAAGTTCTTTGAACGGAAACATTTCAGACTTTGGTACGTGCAATACTCTTGGAAGAAATAAGATTATTCCGTAATAACAAAACGTTTGCGCAAAAGAAGTAAGCCAAACGCAAACCGTTGCAAGAAGATATTTTGGCTTGAATAAATCTTTCACGCTCGCGTGATGTTCTTCTTCATCTTCCAACTTGAATGATTTCATCTCTAATTTGTTTGTACTGGCAATCTTATCCATAATAGCCTCCGCTTCTTCTGTTCTACCTTTAGCGAGTAGCCAGGAAGGAGACTCGTCGAGAAACCCAAGAAATAATAGCGAAAGAACTGGTGGTACAGATGCTAGCAGAGTTAGATACCGCCAACCTCGCGAATCGAGAACAAAATAAGCTAGCTCAGTAATTAAGATACCGCCAATAGCGAACCACACCCAAATTGACATCAACACCTGCCCACGAATTTTATCTGGACAAATCTCCGCGAGCAAATCGTAAGGCACTGAAAAACCTCCGATACCAACGCCGACTAAGAAGCGCATGCAGACGAGGACGTACACGTTTGGCGAAAAGGAAGAAGCAACTCCGAAACCCGCAATCAACGCGATCGATAAGATGAAAGCAGGCTTCCTACCAAATCTATCGCCGAATAGTCCAAACGCAGAGCAACCAGCAATTTCTCCCGCAAAGACAGAAGCTGCAATAGAGCTCGCTTGAACTGGATTCAAATGCCACTCCTTAGCAGCATCGATGGTCATGAAAGCTAACAGGTTCACCTCTACGGATTCAGCCATGAGGCAGAACCCTGTGATTAAGAAGAGTACCCAGTGATACTTTCCCCAACCAACCGCGTTTTTTGCATCGTGTAGCGTGGATTTCACCGCCACCGCTCCAGCAGAGGACGGTGAACCTGCTACCTTTCGCATTTCAAACTATTATGCCACTATGACTTTTTACGAAAATTTCTCTCCTCTCTCTCTCCTCCTTTTCGTGTTGTGTGCGTGCGCGAAGAAATCTCCTATTGTTGCACCAACTATAACCCGACCACGCGCGAGCAGTATACCGACAGTTTCCTTCTCTCTTTCTATTTATCAGAATCTTATTCGAGACGCGCGCGTTGGCTCTCACTCGCTACAGAGAAGGACAACTTTTCCTGTGCGAGCACACACAAGTTGTGGAGAAGATTATAGGCGCGGCTTAATCCAGAGCTTCTTTGTTTTGTTCTCTTTTTCGGCCCGTCGGCAGAATTCAAGAGTCCCTAAAATTTTCTTTGAAAAAAAATGGTGAGTTTTTTTCGCGAGACAACACTCCGAGAGCAAGCGAGCGCAGGAGTATATCCACCGCTAAAAGAGAAAAGCGGGGCGCGCGTCGTAAAGAGACAGAGAGAGAGAGAGAATAGAATAGAATAGAATAGAATAGAAAGAAACCACGCTTTACCTCGTCGTGCGTGACCGAACAAAAAGAATAATCGTTCCACTTGCCGTTCATTTCTTTTTGGGGTGGTGCCTAAAAACACATTTTTGAAAAAAAAAAGAGAAGAAGAACACGAAGCGGAAAACGTTATGAGTGAGGAGGATACGCGAGGACGGAAGTCGTCGCTTAACGTTTTACGCGATGATAATGCGGCGATGTCGAGGAACGCTGGCAATGTTCGCACGTCCGAAGCGAACGACGGACCACTCGATGGTTGTTCAGGAGGTGATTTCATATCTCTCACTCAAGCCGTGGAGAAGAGCGAGAAAATCTCCTATGGTTTCGCAGCGAGTTCAAAATATGTTACATCACAATCTGAAAGATCTCAGCCAATACGCTCGTCTCCTCGGCAGAAGAAGAATGCAACTTCTGCACTCGATCGATTACTCTGCACAAACAGCAGACAAAAAGAGGGCAAGAGTAATAGCGGATTGAATATGGAAACGAAGACTACGGTTTCCGACAAGGTTGTCGTCGTCGAGCAGGAGCAGCAGCGGTGTAAAGTTGAAGCTCACGGTGATCTTGGAGAGAACAATAGAAACAAAGTACGTGGTGAATTCCCCGTTACGCTTGATAAAGCTCCTTCGACAACCTTGGCGCGAGAGTTTGGACCAGATTCGAAAGAAAAAAAGAAGAAGAGAGAGGAGGAAAAGAAAGTTGAACTGCGTGTATCGTTTCCGGCGCCTTCACTAAGTTGGGGGAGCGCAGACGAACAGCTTTTTGTTCATGATAACGTAAGAACGATAAAGAAAGATAGACGATCGATTGATAGTAACAACAAGAAAAGAAAAGAAAACCCTAGAGGAGCACCACCGATTCCCGTCGAGGAAGATCACACTTCCAAGATATCTGCGCCAAAGGAGTTCATCGCAGAATGGGATGATGAGGAAGATGATGAAAGTATCGAAAATCATGATATATATTTGAACACTGACACCACCGCCGCCGTTGTTGAAAAAACAACATTAGAAAATTGTACGACAAACGTATCTCGAGTCGCGAATGCATTGAAAATGGATTCATCAGATATGAACGTTCAGGAAAAGATTATGAAAAAGCTCGAGAGAATTGATTCGCAAGGCGCACGTATCGCTGCACAAAGAATCATCCGCATACAGAAAGATGACAACGTTTTACATTTACATGTTGTTGCATGTCTTAAGTCTAGTAATATGGTGGTGCCAAAGATTATAACTTTGAAAGATCATTGGGTAGATATTCAAGTCCAAGTGAATGACCTCATTCGTGTCCATTCAATAAGCCAAGGAAACGAGATTTCTGGAAACTGTGAAATCACTGCTACAAATGGCCTTATCTTAGTTCTTCATCCCGAGCTTTTACTGTCTGCAACCATGCTTGGAGGATCCTTTCAATGTTTAAGAAAAGCTTTTATAAATACTGTCATCGGTGATGGTCCCGGTGGAGATGCATCTGAAGCTGCTACATTCGGAACTCTACTGCACGAACTCGCCGAAAAGTCTTTGATAAATTCAGGCTCTAGTGCTATGTCAAACAATTTCGCAGGGATGAACGAAAATTGTATGGAGGATTTTATCGTTGGATTGGCTCGCAAAAGTGCCCTAGATCTATACGCCATCAACAAAACAGTTGACAATTTTATCGAGCACGCTAGAAATGTCATCTCAGGTGTCGAAAAATGGTCCAAAAAATTGACGGCATTATCTCGCAAGGCCAGAATAATGGCAAGAGATCTCGGTTCGAAGATGAGTAGTGCGAATGGAAATGACTACCAGATAGCAAATATGAGAGAAGAAAACGCGCGTCGATTTAATCAGCCCTGTGGAGGCGTGCACGTAGAAGTCCGCAAGAATGGAGCGAGTAATTCGAATGTTTTAGAAGTTTCAGAGATCGTGGATATTGAGGAAATAATTTGGGCTCCGAGATTAGGTTTGAAGGGGCAAATAGACGCAATTGCTGAAGCAAGAATAAGGACTGGTAAGCAATCGACTGATGTTAAAGTTGTTCCAGTAGAGCTTAAGACCGGCAAGTGGAAGGATGTTGTTGAACACGGAGCTCAAGTTTTATTATACACGTTGATGATTGGTGAGAGATATTTTCAAAATCAAGGCGCTTCTCCGTTCGGTGTATTGCACTACACGAACGATGATCAAAATGAGGAAGGGAAAACAACCGTGATCGAAAGGACAAACCTGGAAATTGCATTTCTTATGCATCAGCGAAATCGTTTAGCTTCGGCGTTGCAGCCGCGAGACGATGACGAAGCTTCTCTTGATCAAAATAGATTTCTGTATCCAGCTGAGAATTTGATTGAGAGAACGCACCTTCCACAGGTCCATAGTAAGTTAGCTTCTGGAATCCTTCCGAATATGTCGCCGAGTAGTTGGTGTGAACGATGCTTTCAACGTGAAAGTTGCTTTACGTTGCACAAATCTCTTGAATCTGGGAACGAGCAGACTTCTGGATTACAGATCTTCGCCGCAAGCACAGATCATATCACAAAATCTCATTCAGAGTGGTTGAATAAATGGATCCGACTTGTCGACCTTGAATCGAGCGCTTCGCATGGTAAGAGAGCGACGCCATGGATGGATGTTGAAGTAGTCTGTTCCAGAAAAGGTGGGATTGCCGTGAATGGATTAAAATTGATTCATCATAATATACAAAAACAAATCTCGTTGACTCCGGAAGATGGTACGCCACGACGAGACTCTTTCACCGGTGTATCACCTGGAAACATTGTGAATGAAGATGAATGGTTTCATGAGTTTATAGTCTCGGATAATTCCAATGAGCAGTGCTCCCTGTCTAAATTTAGTCCTGGAGATCGAGTTGTTCTTTCTCGCAACGATGGCTTGATGGTTACTGGTCGTGCCACGATCGAAAAGGTTGAGATTAACCATAACATGTTATCTCTTGTAACGTCTCGGCCTCTTCGAGTGCAAAGTAAAGAGCATATATCGATACAGCCATCACTGCCAGGTAGTGCGAATCTGAATGAGCTATGGCGCATCGATCGTGATGGTGCCGGTCACGCCATGGCGGCCCGATCTCGTGGAAATTTAATTGCCACTCTTGCTAAGGATGTCTCACAGAATAAGAATCAAAAATTAATGCACATTCCATCTGAAACCCGAAGGAGAATAATAGATTTCGCGGAACCGGTCTACGAAAATTTTACTTCTATAAAGTTACCGGGAAGGTATATGAATGATTTTGCGGAGTTTGAACGAGATTACCTTGACATTGTCGTCGATTTGAACGCAGAGCAGCGATACGCGGTCGAGAAAGTTGTCACCTGTTCAGATTATGCTTTAGTTCTTGGATTACCAGGTGCCGGAAAGTCGGAAACTTTGGTCTGCTGTATTCTTGTTCTTGCGTTATTGGAAAAGCGTGTTTTAATCACTTCTCACACACACAACGCGGTTGACAACATTTTAAAGCGTTTACCCTCAAAAAATTGCGAAAGATTTATTAGAATTGGCGATGATGAGTTCAAAGTTCTCAAGGAAGTTCGAAGATATCGTCTCGGGGGTGAAATTTGGGATGCAAGCTCATTCGATGCGATAAACTATGCTTCTGAGAAAGCTCGAATTGTTGGTGCGACATGTTATGCTTTGAACCATCCATTCTTCGCTCGAAAAGAGTTTGACGTTGTTTTAGTCGATGAAGCTGGACAATTAACGTTGCCAGCTATATTAGGTCCTTTATTACTTTCGAAGACGTTTGTTCTGGTAGGTGATCACCATCAATTGCCTCCATTGATTACTTCTGAAGTCGCGAGACGCAGCGGTATGGAAGATTCACTTTTTGCTCAACTGTGCAATAAGAATCCAAACGCTGTCTGCTCTTTGACATGTCAGTATAGGATGAACGAACCGTTAACAAAGCTACCAAATGCACTGACTTATGATGGTAAATTGAAACCAGCGAATGATGCGGTTGCGAATAGAATGCTTTCGGTCGAAGAAGACTTCGATGTCAAGGCTAGGAAAATCCAATGGTTGACAAATGCGACGAGTGAACAGCCAAATAAAGCGGTCATTTTCCTTGATACAAGCGCAGAAGAAACGGTGCAAGATCAGACAAGAGAGAGTTCTGATGAGCGACCGGTAAACAAGGGAGAACAGCGTCTCGTTCTTGAAATCGTTCGAAGTTTAATTCGCAGAAAAGTTGAAGCAGCAAAAATAGCAGTCTTGTCACCTTTCAATGCGCAAGTGGATGAAATTTCTGAACTACTAAAGACTGACGAGAAAGTAAGCGATGTAGAGTCTTTAACTATAGATAAAGCACAAGGAAGAGACTTTGACGCGGTCATAATCTCATTCGTAAAAAGTAATCCTCGAGGAGATACGACAGAGCTATTAGAAGATAAGAGACGCCTGAATGTTGCGATAACTCGAGCCAAGTCAAAGTTGATTTTGATTGGAAATATGCAAACGTTAAGAGGTAGCAATGCTATGAGCAGGATGCTGGATGTTATTGCTTCTGAGAAGATGATCGAGCCCGTGGACAGCTCATTCGTAAAACTGTTCCTGTAAAGAAAACTATGATGCATACTTTACTTTTCTCCCCGCCTGATTTCTTGAATTTCCTGCGCAAGGATTGATTTTGTTCTTTCGCTGAGTCCTTCTACTTCTTTTCGAAACATTTCCTCATCTTTATTTTCTTCCTCTATCTCCGCGTCTAATACTTCGCTTCCGTCTGGATCGAGATTCTTTTTCAGAGGACGCTGTCTCATTTTGGTTTTGGAAGTTTTTTCCTTGTATTTTCTCTCCTTCAAATTTCTCGCTTTCAAACGCCGCTTATTTTCCTTCTTCTCTGCATTTGCTCGTCGTCTGAACAGTATAATCGAACTAATGAATTTCAAGATGTCTCCTCGCCCTTCTTTACTCACGCTCGAAGTCTTGATGATGCTTGGTAATCTATGCCACGTTTCTTCCAGTCTATTTTCTAGTGCTTCTATGTTTTCCTCCACAGTAGGAGTATTTGGGCCTTTTTTCTTTCTATCACACTTTGTGAACACAATTGTGAACGGTATGTCGTTCCCTATCAAATAGTTTGCGTAGTCTAAGTCTTTATCTTGGGTTTCTATCGAAGCATCGATCAACAGCAATACTCCACAGAGAGTCTGACGCGTTTTGAAATAGTTTTTCGCGAAGGTATCCCAGGATAAAATTTCCTCCTCAGTTGCCTTTGCAAAGCCATATCCAGGAAGGTCGACGATGTACCATTTTGCGTCAATGAGATAGTGATTAATGGACCGCGTTGTACCAGGATTCGCCGATACGATGGCATGACTCGTACCTTCCGTGAGCATATTTAGCAAAGAAGACTTTCCGACGTTAGAGCGACCAATCAAAGCTATTTCAGGTAGTCCATTTTCTGGTGGACAGTCTCTTTCGTTTTCAACAGAACTGGTCAGTCTCACTTTTTGCAACTTTTTGTCGCTGACGATGGAGATGTCTGGGAGAGGCAAAGTCTGCGCTTCCGCCCCGGTTCGCAGCACTGGACGGTTTTGTTTATTCGAGAAGAGTTCTTCTTCGACGTAATACACCGTGCCTGTTTCGTTGTCCCATTCTGATTTGCCGCTGCTCGCTGCGGCTGCTACGAAAAACTTCTTCAAAGTTGGTCTTAACAACTTTTTGCTCTTTCCTTCAATTATGGCATTTTTCGCATTTACTGCAGATAACCCCGTCCTGGATGTACGCGACGACGAGAACGACATCGAAGGTACAGAAAAAGGAGGAGTCATGGCAGCGATTATGGCGAATGTGGCGAGGCGGTGATGTGTGATACCTTTTTCTCTGTGGCTTTGGGCGGCGGAGAGTTTTGACGGAACTCCGTGAGAAAGGACCAAAAAATCGAAGTAATCACGACAAAAGTTTCTTTTTTTTTTTAGCCCCCTCTCCCAGAAGCTCTCAAAACCAGGCTCACGCACAGGACGACTTGTGAGGGGAGGATGGTAGGATCCTCACTAGAAAGAAAAAAACGAAAAGTAAAAACGACGAAAGGATGAAACCTTCTCCTTCTTATACCGGCCCTATTCTCACCTCGCTGGCGGCTTTGTTTGCCGCGAGTGGCGCGTGCGTGTATGCCGTAAACATACAAAAAATCTTTGGAGGTATGCACCGAGAGAGAGAGAGAGAGAGAGAGAGAGAGTTCTTGTCTTCATTTTGCGTGTGTGTTTTTTACCCTCTTCATCCGTCGGTATCAAGATCCGTTTTTCGTTTTGAAACTCTCGCTTTTACTTACCACGTCTTTCTCCTTCAAACGTTTTATTCACGACGTGAACAACAACGATCTATTCGCAGGCTCGACTCCATCCACGATTACAAACACGGAATGGCTCGCCGCGACGCAAGCTTCGTATCAAAATGGGGTGGAAAGAGAAGGAGCACCTGGGAAACCAATAGCACTGAATCCGATGAGAAGAAACATCTCTCCTTGAACAAACTTGAACTGAGAAAATGCAGTAGAGAGAAAGAGAGAGAAGGAAGGAAAGAAAAAGAAAGAAAGAGGAACAGTATTAGAGAGTGAAACATATATAACGTGACCCACTACTTATTTGTATAATAAGAAAATCGAAACTATAAGTCAGCGGGAATGGATTGCAGCATGCAGCGTTTTGTTTTTTTATCCTCGAATGAACTGTCTCGAGTCTCCCGAATCCTTCTTCCCGTACGGATTATTCGCACTAAAACCATGGCCAGTACCTTTTTGCCTTCTGTAATCACTACCAGGCGCACCATTTGATACTTTACCCCTACCTTTACTTGCTTTTGATTCTAAATTCAGCTGCACTTTTGGAGGGCGGCTGAAGCCAAAGGATAAGCCTACGGCTGCCAAATCGAGAGCATGAACGTTGTACACATCTTTCAGAGTGTGCGAGTTGTACGCTAAAATGTACGCCCTGTATGCATCTTTTGCTGATGTGTGCAAATAATAGTTTTTCTCGACCAACTTTTCAAGCTGCGATTGTACATTAGCTATTTTCTTCTGCGGGAATTCGTATTCATTCAGAGGTACTTTTGCGTTCTTGAGATATTTCAAAAATCCGAGTTCCCCTGGAATGAGGAATAACAGAGCGCGCCCTCTTCCGTCGGTTCCTCGAGCAGTTCGTCCAACCCTGTGAATATACTCTTTCGGATCATCTGGTGGATCGTATTGTATTATCCAATCAACATCTGGAATATCTAATCCTCTCGCAGCAACATCGGTGCACAACAAGATACCTCGATCGGCTTTGCAAAACTCAAAAAATGTGGTTGTTCTCCTCTGCTGCTTCTGTTTACCGTGTATATCGGAAACCGGGATGTCTATGTAGTTCAATAATTCCGCGTGATATTTGACCGAATTACAGGATGAAAAGAAAACCATCACCTTTTTCTTCAAATTTTTCTTTAAAAATGTAAACAAGAGCAAAAAGCGCTTCTCAGACGGAACGACACAGTAACCTTGCTCAACTCCGGAAGCAGTAGAAACGGCTCTAGAATCATCAACTCCAATGTATAAAGGCGTTTTCAAACTTAAACGTGCTAAATCTTCGACTTTCGTGGTTTGTGTCGCGGAAAATAACATCGATTGGCGATCTTTTGGAAGCATTTTTACAATCGTACGCATCTCCTCCTCAAAACCAATATCGAGCATACGGTCTGCTTCGTCCATGACGAAGACTTTCAACGAACTGTATTGGAAACCACGAGTATTCTGCATGTGATCGAGTAATCTGCCTGGCGTGGCGACGAGGAGGTTTACTCCTTTAATTAATTTTTCACCTTCCGCTCGTCGATTGGCTCCACCCATCAATAATCCGTGGGTTTGAGAATGTTTTTGCATGAGTTGTTGCGCGACGCTGTAGATTTGCATAGCCAGTTCGCGAGTGGGCGAGAGAACCATCACTCCGCATCCGTTTCTGGGCATAAACTTAGCGTGGTACAGAAGTTCGCAACAAGGAATTAAAAATGCCAAAGTTTTGCCAGAGCCAGTTCTCGCCGCACCGAGCACGTCTCGTCCAGCTAACAAAGGAGGAATACACCTCGCTTGCACCTCTGTCATCTTCTCGTGTCCCAATTCTTTGATGCCTTGCATCGTCGGATTGGACAAGTCCAAACTCGCAAACGTCGCGGAGGAGAGAATACCATCAACTTGCACGACGACGTGATTTTTGTCTCCAGGTTTCGGCAGTGAGCTTGTTTTATCTCTCTTACCGTCTTTGCGTCCTTCTTTTTCTTCTTCTTCTTCTTCTTCTTCTTCCTCTTCTTCTTCTTTCCCGCCGCCGCCTTCCTTTTTCTCACTTTTCTTCTTCTTCTTCTTCTTCTTCTTCCTTAATTCTTTGTCCTCGTCGTTGTCTTTCTCTTCCCCTTCTCCTCCTTCCATCTCGCGCCGTTTCTTCTTTTCTCTCTTCTCCTCCTTCGTCATCTTTTTCTTCGACCGTCGCTCTTCCTTCTCCCGAGACTCGGAAGGGAGAGACATGTTTATTCTTCTTCTTCTTCTTCTTCTTCTTTGACGAGAAAAGGAAAAAAATTTTGGCTTTCGGGACAACACACAACACTTTTGTTTGCGACAAAACAAAGCGAGCGAAGGGGTGATTTATCTGTCTCTTTTTTTTATTCGAACGCTCGCTCCGTGCACACGCAAACGTGAATAGGTCCTGTAGGGATAGAGAGTAAGTAGAACTTCAATGGTACGCTTTATTACCCGTTTTCATATTCGATCTCGCTCTCTCTTTCCTTCCCAGTTCGACGAGAACAAATCTTTATCTGGCTTTTTTATTACGGCGGCTTGACTGTACTGATTCATCGACAAACAACAACAACAACAACAACGATACCGAATTCAAGCAGTCGCGCGATAAACAGCGAATACGAACACAAAGGCGGTGATGATTTCATGTTATTTCTGACACCTCTTGTTTGAGCGTCGTGTGGCCACTTCGCGCTGAGCTCAATTTTAATTCTGAGTCTTTGTTGTTCTGCTCTCTGTTGTTTACGAGCTGGTGTTTCGTTGGTTCGTTCGTTCGATTTCGCGACCAAAAAGCCGGCGGAGGTGAAGGTGTGGCGAGCGGTGTAAAAGCCACCCGAGCCGTCAAACTTGGGTCGTCACATCATACAGGATCCCCCGTGACTTGCGGACGCGTATAATAAACGGTTGGGGAGTCAAATGTCTGCTTGGAATATCCGAGTGATTTTCGAGCCTGATGTCTCTCTACATTTTTTTTATCAAGCTAACATTGATAAAGATGACGACGACGATTACGACGACGACGAAGAGAATGAGAACAATTCGAAGCTAGTGACGACAACATCACAATATACATTCATGCGTGTCAAATGAGGCCGGAGTAATTACCGGATCACTGATATCAGTTTAGAATCCGAAGCTTCTTGCGAACTAGTTCTTCGTTTCGTCATTCTCGTCTTTGTTTGAGACGCTTTCTAATTAATCATCTTCCCTATTTCCCCGGTTCCATGGGGTCAGTAGTGCCGAAGGGAGCGTACATCGACGAAGTAGTTTATTTCGAGACGGCTTTTGAGTCTTTCACTCTGTTTTGTACAGTCGAGTGAAAAAAATTAGTGCTGTCTATATTTTCGTTTCGTTTCGCGAGCGGAAGATGCATCCTGGATTATTTAAGACCAATTTAGATTATTCTGCGTCTTTACTCGCTACATAAATGGTCACCTATTCCATCTGTTCAGCATTTTAGTGCAAAAGCAGCCACATCGGTGAAACACTTTTTATATTTTGTGTTTTCAAGCGTGAGGAAAACGCTGCACTCGCCGACTCGCTCACGCGTTTTTTCTTCTTCTTTTCTCCGCACAACACAAACACAGGTTTCGAGCGACTTTTCGTCGAGAAGTCAAAAGAGGGATTAAGGAGAGAGCTATAAGTTCGTTGTTTTCTCTCCATACGATCGAAAAAACTTGACTATTCTACGAAAACGAAAACGAATTCATGGAATAGAGGCATCTCTACAACGACACCATGACTTCGACACCTCGACGAACTTCTGGTGAAATCAGAAACCTTCATACGCAAACAGGCGCTTTTCTCTTCGAATTTGAAGAAAGAAGTTGGTCTGATCCGATGAAAGGTCATGCTGAGAATCCGCTGTGTACTCCACTCTTATTGGAACCAAAATCCGTTGCACTCAACAAGAACCGCCAGGCATGGAGGACAATGGAGAGAAAAGGATTTAAAGTGACAAAAGATGTTGGATGTCTACTGCCTCACTTACAATATGGTAAAAGTATCACTGAGAGTGGTGCGAAAATGAATGGATGTGGATATAAGACTTCAATGGGTTTCTTCACTGGATTAATTGGTAACCATCCGAGTGCGCCTGAGCGTGACACGGATGGGCGGCCTATAAGTCTTGAAGTTTCTCATTTATGCCACAGAAGTTCATGCATCAATCCGATGCATCTAGTAGCTGAGCCGAAATGGTGTAACTTAAAGCGCAATTACTGTGGTAAAAACAGTGGTTGCAATTGTGGAAACACCATTAAGTGCCTCAGGATGTATCAGACGAGTCATACTCTAGAAAAAACATCATTGTGTACTACGAAAAAAGAAGTTCTCGAAACTCTGAAGGAGCTTAAAGGTGTTCATCCCTTCAAAATACTCGCTAAAAACGCGTACGATGAAAGGGATCAAAAAGCAATACAGAAGCGACAAACAAAGGCGAAAAATCAGAAGAAGCGTAAGCGACAAGCTGATAAACAAGCCCATGCAGCTGGTAAGAAGGCTGCGAAAAAAGCAGTTAATGATCAAGCTGCGAAAAAAGCTTACGAGGACGCTGTAATGAAGCATCTTTCTCCTGAACACGTGTAATAACATTTAAAAATATTCGTGCACGCACTCTTCTTTCTTTTTGGGTGCTCAGATCAGACTTGGGGCGAGGTCCAACCATTCCTCTCCTTTTTTTTCAAAAATTCGAAGCTTCGAGAGAGCTTTTAGGATTGTCGTCAGAATCATCGCCACGGCATGAGAGCGCCATTATCTCATGCGTCATCGAGCTCTCAAATTAATAGAGCAGACGACGTCTCAGACAGATTTTGGGGTAAACCCAGCGCTGATCCAACTCTTACAAAAACGGGAAAACAACGACAGATTCTGTGGGAACTCGACCTGGCGAGGAAGAAAAGAAAGATAGAGGAACACGAAATAAAGGAATCTAATAAGGAATACGGCGAAAAAGAACTTAAACTTAGACCAAGATTTGTTCGCGGTTTGCAAGATGAAGTCTTCGAGCACATTGATGAAAAGAACGGAGAAAACGCGTCGGGGAAGAAACTCGTTTGCTGGTCGTTTGAAAATTTCCACCTGAAAAGAAAGTTTTGCGCAGCTACCCGCGAGAAGTTCTGGGAGTATTACTCCATTTTGAAGGAAAACGAACGACATCACTACGAGATTATACGCGAAATGGAACCTTGTCATCTATATTTTGACCTCGAGTTCAATAGAGACGCTAATGCAGACGTTGATGGAGTAAAATCTACAGACGCTTTACTGGATTTGATAAAAGAAGAGCTGTACGAAAAGCATAACATCGAGATAGCACTGAATGAACACGTAGTCGAACTAGAAAGCAAAATCACCGAAAGCATCAAAGCGTCAACAGAAGAGGGACAGAATACCAATAGGAAATTTTCGCGGCATGTTATCATAAGACTGCCAGGAGCAGCGTTCAAATCGAATATTCACGTTGGAAAGTTTGTCAAAGATTTCTGGAATTCCGTTCGCGAAAGACGCGCGAGTGATGATAGATGTGAGAAACTCTTCATTCGGAAAGAGCAAAGTGAAACTGAGCGTGAGAATTCAATTATCGATTTAGGAGTGTACACTCGAAACAGAGCTTTTCGGTTATTTTTATCGAGCAAAGCAAAGAAGAAAGAAGTACTACGGTGCACCGGGAGATTTTGGACACATTTGAAACAGCGCGAAATCTTTTATCGTTCGTTGGTTACAAACATAGACAAAGATCAGCGGAAGAAATTGATTGAATACGAAGACGTGACGGTTTCTCTTTCGCAAAAGAGCAATAGTTGTGCAAACGCATTCTCTGGGTACGGATATCGGAGAGATTCACTTTCTCAAAATTCTAGTAAGCATAGAATACCTCCTCCTCCGTGTGCTGAACTGGTGGACTTTGTGCTCAACGATTTCGATGGCTGGAGTGATGCCAAGATGAATAAAGCTGCTGTGCGCTCCTGGGTGGCTTTTCCAGATCATGATACGTTGATCTTAAATCTAGTAGGAAATCGTTATTGCGAAAATATCAAACGTCAGCACAAATCTAATAACGTCATGTTGATTATGGATTTTCAGCGTGGTGTGTATCATCAGAAATGCCACGACCCAGATTGCAAAGGGATGAATCCGCAGTTACGCGAACTTCCTGTGGATATGCTGCAAAGTGCAATCAAAAGCGGTCGTGCGCTTCCATTTGAGCGGGAGGAGCCAAGATGTGAAAGCGATGACGAGGAATTCTGGCAGAGAGCCGCCTCGGCTGCGGAGAAGTTGTGGTAGCAATGAGAAGAGCTGATCGTCGGAATTTTTTGTGTAAATTACTTATTATTAGAAACTTTTAGAATCCAGGAGGCATTCCAGCTCCAGGAGCACCATCACTTGCATCATCTTTGTTTTCTGTAATCATGCACTCTGTTGTTAACATCAGAGAAGAAACGCCCGAAGCGTCAATGAGCGCCGTTCGAACAACTTTCAATGGATCGATTACACCCGCCTTGACCATATCGCAAAATTCATCAGTTGCTGCGTTGTAACCCATACCTTTGTCTTCAAACCCCAACACTTTTTCCACAATGACTGAGCCTTCGACGCCCGCATTATTCGCAATAGTTCGCATGGGAACTTTTAAAGCTGATCGCACAATTTGTACGCCAATTTTTTGATCGAAGTTCGTCAACGAGTCCTCGAGCGCACCGAGAGCTTTCGTGGCATGAAGCAATGCAGTCCCACCACCAGGTACAATTCCTTCTTCAACAGCAGCTTTCGTGGCATTGAGTGCGTCTACTACGCGATCTTTCTTTTCACCCACTTCGACTTCGGAAGAACCTCCTATCTTCAAAACAGCAACTCCTCCGGAAAGTTTTGCGAGTCTTTCAGTCATTTTTTCTCTATCATAGTCAGACTGAGATTCCGCGATTAAATCGCGTAATTGATCGCATCTTTCCTCGATGGACGTCTTCTCACCTGCACCGTCCAGTAAAATAGTATCATCTTTGGAAACGGTAACTTTTTTTGCAGATCCTAACATAGACATCTCAACTTCCTCGAGTTTGTACCCAAGATCCTCGCTGATGACGGTTCCGCCAGACAAAATAGCAATGTCCTGCAAGTTAGCTTTTCTGTTATCTCCAAATCCCGGAGCTTTGACGGCGCAGATTTTCACTCCACCTCGTAATTTATTCACAATCAAAGTTGCAAGGGCTTCAGATTCGACGTCTTCCGCAACGATGAGCAATGGTCTCTGTGTTTTCAGAACAGATTCGAGAATAGGCAACAGAGGCGTCAAACCAGAAATTTTCTTCTCAAAAATCAGGATAAAGGGGTTCTCGAGCTCGCACTTTTGCGTCTTTGGATTGGTCACAAAGTAAGGAGAAATGTAGCCTCGATCAAATTTCATTCCCTCTACGACCTCTAATTCATTTTCGAGCGTTTTTCCATCCTGTTTTTTAAAAGCACGCATAAAAAAAGGTCAGTTGGATTTTCTTTTCTTCCAGAAAATTATTGATTTTGAGACTCGATACAGAGTCTTCAAAAAATGTAAACCAACAAAAAATCAAATCCTGCTTTTCGAGTCAGTGTAACTATGACATATATATCCTTCATTAGCACAAGTAATAATCCACGCACGAATGCGCGCTACCCGGCTAAATAAAGTAATTCTTTGACATCATCCCCGATATGGATTAATTTTTGTTCTTTGGTCGCGAAAGAGTCGCGAAAGAGCAAGGGAGCACAAAAAAGAAAGAGAAAAATACGAGAAATGATAGGGGGGACATACCGCGCAAGTTATCACGCCTTCTTTTCCAACTTTTTCCATTGCTTTAGCGATCAAATCACCAATTTCACGCTCACCGTTCGCAGAAATTGTGCCAACTTGAGCAATTTCTTCCGTGGTTGAGATCATTTTCCGCGTGGACTGTAATTCCTTCAAAATCACGTCTACGGCTTGCTGGATGCCTCGTCTCAAATCCATCGGATTCATCCCAGCGGCTACGGACTTACATCCTTCGCTAAATATTGCTCTCGTAAGAACAGTTGCTGTTGTAGTTCCGTCACCCGCTACATCATTCGTAGATACTGCCACTTGCTTAACGAGAGAAGCGCCAAGGTTCATCATTCTGTCTTTGAACTCAACGTTTTTCGCAACAGTCACGCCATCCTTGGTAATTTTCGGTGGACCGTAGTTTTGTTCGATAACGACGTTTCGACCTTTTGGTCCGAGAGTGACTTGAACGGCATCTGCCAAACGATCACATCCTTGGAGGATCAGAGCTCTCGCCTCGACCCCAAACTTTAAATCTTTAGAAGCGTACCCGCGCCGCAGAAAACCGGGAGCGCCTGAAGGCGTCAAGGCACCACTGCTTCTCGCGAAATAACTATTGCTGCTGCTGCTATAGAAGAAGAAGAAGAAGAAGAAGTAAAAGGTGAGCGTTTCAAAAGGTACGCATTGAGTGCATCCATCCAGCCAAATCTAGTGGGAGTCGAAATACTGAGCGCGACGTTCCGAGAGGTGTGCATTCTATATCACGTCGCGGACGTGAAGTTTTTTTCTTCGCGCGATGAAGGAAAAAGAAGAAACGACGATTGAATAAAACGATGACGAAAGACGGCGGATTTTTCTCGATTGCCTTCTTTCGAAACAACAATTTTTCTAACTCGAACCTGGACGACGATAAGAAGGAGGAAGAAGAAGAAGAAGAAGACGCCGACGCGAGACGCGCTAATGGCTTGAGCGAGCGTTTCAGCATTTCTACAGCGCTCGGAGACTTTTATGTGCGTTCTCTGTGTGTTCCACAGCGTGAAAAAATATGAAGAAGAAAATCGAAAATTGGAGTTTTAGTATACCAGACGCAGAGCGGGAGAGGGGCGAGCAGGATTTTTTAGAGTAAGTACATGTACAAGAGGAACTACAGTTACAAGAAAGTGTCCATTTTCTCTTCGTCTTGAGAGGAAGAAGAGATCAAAACACCAACAGGCAAAACACGACGAAAGATCCTAAAAGCAGAAGCATCCAGCTGAGCAGAGCTTGCTGCTGTGCATATCCGGGGGCTTCCCCCGTAACTAATAGTCTAAAGCCAAACTGAAACGCAACGCCAGGGACAGTTGACCCAAACCTTCTGTTATTCTGTTGTGGATACGCTTCCGCGACTCGGGTCAAGTCACCGCCATCAGTTGGATTCGCTTGAGCGAGATTATTCGTAGCGTTTGGATTTGGAGGTAAGTGCACTCCTTGTGGTCGAGATGGAATCTTTGATACGTCCGTTTCTTTACCATCACCGCTACTATCACCATTTCCACCACCATTTCTACTACCACCACCACCAACAACACCATCACCACCAACACCACCGCTGCCGCCGCTGCCATTTCCTTTTCGAGAAGGCTGCGAGTCTGACTCGTTTCCGTATAGAGGAATAAGTAACTCCTCCACGATGTCTTTGTTGCATACGGGACAGCTTTGATGCATAGGGTGCATAATGAGCCATCTGTTCAAAAAAGAAGAAGAAGAAGAAGGATGAGTTTATCAGATAAAAACGAACGCGACGATGACGATGTTGATCCATATCGCCTCAAAGTTCATCATTGCTTTGAAAAAAAGGAAAACGTACTTGTGAATGCACGGCCAGCAGTACAAATGACCGCACTGCGTGATGACGGGTTCTTTCGCAGTCTCTAAACATATGTTACACTCCCAGAGCGCTTTTGGAGCACTTTTTCTTTGTTTGATTTTCCCATCTCCGGTATAATTAGCACCAGGAGTAGGTGTATTTTCTTTCTGTATCTCTGGTTTTTGTTCCGCCGAGGAAGGAGGAGGAAAAGGAGGATCACTTGTAGTGGACATAATTATTTTTATTCAATTCTGTTCTCTTTGTCGTCTTCTCTTTCTGCCTCTCTTTCTTTATCTGTATCTTCTTATCTTAACCTCTCTCTCTTCCTCTCTCTCTCTCTCTCTCTCTTTTTGTTTATATGCGAACGCTCGTGCGCAAAGTATATTATATACTTTTCTGTGGCGATAGGTGAAGAGAATTTTCTCTCCCTAGCGCGTCGTGTTACGTGAGAATTTTTGAGAAGGGGCTGCTTTTTTTTGGTTAAACCCTGAAAGTATGTCAGGCAAGAAAAGTCCACCCAAGAAACAACATCCTTCTTCCCTCGCTATCCGCCAACAAAACGGCATATTATTTTTACGAGACGAGCGAACGCACTCATGAGTTCAGCCGTCCGAAGATCTGCTCGCCAATTAGCCTCGAGCGTTTCCAGAGCATCATCATTCGCCGCCGCTCCCGTCAGCGTCGAGTCTACCTCGAGCTTTGGCTTAAAGAAGTTGCTTTTTTCCAAAGTCCCTTCGAGTGGAATTGCCTCAGCGCTTAATCAACAAAGAGCAGCGGCGCCTGGCTCCGTGCGCTCGTTTCAAACGACCGCCATGTCCGCGATGTCTAACAAGTGCGTCCAACTTCCCTTTAATGCACAGCGTGTCTCTTATCACATCTCTGAGCTCTGGAACTTACTTCCTTCCGTCAAAACGAAAGAGGAGTACGCTACGCGCGCGCCCTTTTTCTCTCCGATCGTTTATCTAAATTTTGCGCGCTCTCGGTTGTGGTTTTCACAAAGGGAGGCCAAAAGTCTGGCTGCCTGCCTGCCTGTCTTTTCTCTCGTACAAGCAGCTGCTGAAAAAAAGCTCGAGTTATCTTCTTTCCTAAAGGCTGACGCATTATCTCTCCTCTTTTCGTAACGCGCTTGCAGGTTAATCAGTCCGCACGGCGATAAGCTCGTCAACTTAATGGTTGACCCATCGAAAGCTGCGTCCGTGGAGGCTTCCGCCACGAGGACTCTCGAACTTTCGGATAGAAACGCGTGCGACGTCGAGCTCTTGTGTGTCGGAGGATTTTCTCCTTTGACTGGCTTCATGAACGCCGAAACTTACGAACACGTCGTAGAGAATATGCGTCTTCCAGGCTCAAACTTGCTTTTTGGCTTACCGATCGTTTTGGACACGGATTGCGAAGATACCAAAGCGGGTGATAAAGTTTTATTGAGGTACAAAGGAAAATCTGTTGCAGTGCTAACAGTGGATTCCAAATGGAGGCCGAACAAGCCGAAAGAAGCAAAGTCGTGCTACGGTACGTCTTCTATTGAACATCCGGGTGTTCATATGATTGCGGAAGAGCGAGGAAGATACTATATTGGCGGCTCGCTCGAAGGCTTGGCCATGCCGGTGAGAGAGTTTGCTACGCCAACTCCGGCTGAAGTCCGCGCTGATTTACCAGAAGGAAAGGATGTCGTCGCTTTCCAATGTCGCAATCCCATCCACCGCGCGCATTACGAGTTGTTTACTAGAGCTCTTGATGCAGAGAACGTTGGAGAAGGTGCCGTAGTTTTGGTTCACCCAACCATGGGTCCCACCCAAGACGATGACATTTCAGGCTTGGTTCGATACAAAACTTATGTTGTGCTCAAAGAGGAAACCAAAAACCCGCAAGTTCGCTGGGCATACCTTCCGTATTCTATGCACATGGCAGGTCCAAGAGAAGCGATTCAGCACATGATTATTCGAAAGAACTACGGTTGCACTCACTTCATCATCGGTCGTGACATGGCTGGTTCCAAATCTTCGCTTGACGGCGAAGATTTCTATGGCGCTTACGACGCTCAAGATTTGGCAAAGCAAAACGCGGCTGAGCTTGGAATGAAGACTGTTCCTTCGTTGAATGTTGTTTATACCGATGAAAAAGGATATGTTACCGCAGATGTGGCTGAAAAGGAGGGCTTATCTGTGAAGAAACTTTCTGGTACAAAGTTTCGAAAAATGTTGCGAGGAGGAGAAGACATTCCAGAATGGTTTGCATTCAAATCGGTCGTCAAAGTCTTGCGCGACAATGCTTAATATTAATAATTTCCAAACCTATCGTCAAGTAATAGTATCTAAAACTTTCATCTATCATCTTTTTCCTAACCCGACGTTAGAAATGACAGCCGCCTCGTCGGCGGCGAGCTTATTCTCTGCATATCCTTGTATAGGTGGTGTTGCCACTGGCATCCTTCGTTTAGGAGAGAACAACGTACGATCTTCCGTCCACGCGTGTTCTCGGAGAAACCCTTCCGGCAGTGCGTTGCATGCTGCCGCTTTCAGTCGGATCTTATCGTTCACGTCTTTCTGCATTGCCCTGTGCTGCCCCATTTTTTTCCTGCTATACTCTTTCGCTTTCGCTTCGTACTCTTCCAATTGCGCTTGCGTGAGTTTCTGAGGCTTTATTTCTGTCGGCTCCACCGCTTTCACGAGCAGATTGAGGTATTTATCTAAAGCTGCGTCTAACTTTGGGTCTCTTTTAATTTCGCCCATACCACCACTGCCACTTTTACCACCACGCCGGCCCTGGGACGCTTTCGACTTACTCTGAGAACCTTTTTTTGCCGCCTTGGCATATCCCCTTCTCCCTTGCTGGCGGTGCGTTGTCGTCGCCGAAATCGCTGAAAGAATTGAGAGTGATGATGATGATGATGATGATGATGATGATGATGCGGTGATTTCCATCAATCGTCGGTAAACGTTCGCGGTGGTGGTTGATCCTTCTCCTAAACTGCGGCGCAACATTTTCTTTTCGTGTTCTTCTTCTTCTTCTTCTTCTTCTTCACTGCGTCGTGTGTTTTGCTGTGAGGGATTTTAGTTCGAGTTGTGAAAAAGGTATTTTTACTTGTTTACGCGATATGCGATAGAGAAAGATAGAGAAACAAGGAAGAATCCGCGGCAGGCTATACATATACAACACTTATTATTACATGCGAAGTTATTCTCATAATCTCATCAACTCGAGGACAAGAACTTCGTCCAACAAGTGCTTTTTTCTCTTTTCCGAAACGAGTTTTGTCTGTTTCTCTTCTACCATCATCTTCTTGAAACGTTCTCGATTCTGCGGAGCTCGGAGCGGTGGATCCGCTATGAAGACTTGACCTCCGTTTGCTTTGACGAAATTCGAGCAAAATTCGCTCACTGGTTCAACCGCGTGCCGTTCGTACAGAACGTCGGCGGCGACCAAAATGTCAAAGTTGTTCAACTTATTTTTGTCGGCCGGAGCGTTCCAGTCCAACACTTCCGTTTTAACTATGCTCTCCACGTCGTTAAGTTCAGCACTTCTGTTGGCGCATTCTAAACACAGAGGTTCTCTGTCAAACAAAGTCACCGACTTTGCTCCTAACTTTGCTAGCGTTATGCCTACTAAACCAAGTCCGCAACCGAGTTCGGCGACCGTTTTTCCTCGTATCGAAAACCCACCGTGAGAGTGTTCTGTTGCTTCCTCCTCGTCGTCAAAGTGCATGTGCGCGAGGTGCGCTGATAATGCACGCGCGGAAGGCCACAAAGCGGCCCAATACGGGTCCGCATCCAATTGTTTCTTTTCGATGTAATATTCTATGACTGCATCTTCGGACTTGGGACGACAAATATGCACTGTAAGTTTTTCGTCCACGACGACGACTTCTTCCGTGACAGTTTGAAAAGAGGAGGAGGAAGAGGAGGGAAAGACCGCACGGGGTGGATACTTATTTCTCCCAATCGAGGCGTGCTCCGTCCGTTGTTGTCGTCGTTGTGTTTGTTTTTGTTTTCTCGCGGCGTCGCGGCGGTGGAGAGGAGGAGGAGGAGGGAGAGGAAGCGCCCACCAGCACATTCCAAAAGTGTTGGGAAGTATATGATATGGGTATGGAGTGTGTGTGCCTTCTTTCCTTCCTTTTTTTTCTTTTCTTTACGTAATTTTTTCCCGCCAAAAAACACAAAGCCCTTTCAACAACAACACCCTTCCACCGCCTTCAAAAAACGCAAAAAAAGTGCTTCATAAGTGATTCAAATCGGCCGCCGAAGGGAACACTTTTACGACACACGCGCTTAAAAATCGGCGCGATCACATGGAGCACGCGATGGCGGCGAGAAATGCGATAGTGCTCGGATCGATCCCATCGATGGACGCGAGATCGGTCCGAACGAACGGTCTCGGAACCTCCTCCTCCTCCTCCTCCTCGTCTTTCTCTTCCTCGTCCAAGTTCTCTCACGAGCACCTCAATCATCATCACGGCAAGCAAAGTTTTCGTCCTTCCTCCTCCCGGGCGGGACGATTCGTGAAAAACACCGTGACTAAGAGCAAGAGCAACGTCGCCGTCTTCGCGATAATTTCTCCGGTCGGCTCGCAAGGATTGAGCGGAGGAGGAGGAGGACAAGGAGACGCACAAAAAATGCTTCTCGCAGACGACGAGCTCGGCATCAAGAGCATGTACGCTTTGAACTCGAAACTCAAAACGAGGGAGGTTTTTGGTGAGCACGAATTCGTGGTCATGCAGAAGATCAACACGCCCCACGACGTCGTGGTCAAAGTGACGACGAATGGAGTCAAATATTGCGTCACGATCGAGACGACTCTCGACTGTAAGAAGGGTAACGAATCACTTTTCTTGCACTGGGGAGTTGCTCGAGATCCAAACCAATTGCACGCGTTTAATGAACCGCCCATAGAACTTCAACCAGAGAACACGCGTCCGTTCAATTCAGACGCCTGTCAAACTCTGTTTAAATCAAGGAATACTCGGGATCGGTTGAGAACAAAGGTGGGAGGATCGATTGAGATTTCTGGAGATATATCTGACGCGGCGCACGCCATCAACTTTGTGATCAGAGACGAGAATTCAGATCAGTGGTTTAAGCCACAAAACGGAGAATCGTTCCACGTGAAAATCCCGACTCCACCTCCTCCAAATATTGAAGTAAACGAAAAAATCGTTGAAGAAGAGATTGATGTCGAAGAAATGGAGGAAATTGAAGTTGAGATCGAAGATGAACCGGCTCCTCCTCCTCCTCCTCCTCTTTCGGTAGCGACAACGGCAAAAGTGGACGCAAGTGCTATACATTCTTCGGAGGTTGTCAGTGCAGGTGATTTGTTCAAGAGAATAATGGAGCGAGAAGCCGAAAAAAGAAGAAAAGCAAAAACTGCTGCTCGCTTTGGTTCGATAGATTTCAGCAGCAATGTAACATCTAATCGCTCTATGGATAGCTCAAATTCGGCAACGGCGACGAAAAACAGGACCTTTATGCGCGACGGTAGAAAATACGAGAAGAAGATGGTGCCAAGGATAGTAAAAACAAAAGTGCGAAAGCGTGTTAAGACTGAAATTCAAGTTCCAGTAAAGCTAGTTGAAGGACCTTGGATTGACTATGGAGGCTCAAATTCAATAATATTTCTGGAATCTGAAAATGCGTATCGCATTGGTGCCTTGGTAGAGGGCAATTCTTTGTCCGCATTTGAGAGAAAGAACGGTGCAGTGACGTGCAGAATTGAAACGAATATCCCAGATGATGTGCACTTGCATTGGGGTATCGTTCCACGCGGTGGAAGATCTGATTTATGGACAGCTCCACCAGAAGCAATGCGTCCTCCTGAAACGAAATCACACGACGATCAGGCAGTACAGACGCCGTTGAAAAGCGTAACGCATCCTTTGCTTGGCTCTCATAATTTTATTGAGCTTGATTTAAATGTTGTTTCAATTTCACAAGTGCGATTTTGTCTCGTAGGAAAGAACAATACTTGGTTTGATAACTCTGGTCAGGGCTATTCAATTCAGCTTCCAGAACTTCAAAAGTCAGAATCAAAGTTAACTCCGAAGCAGATGCAAGAAAGCGTGTCGAAGAAGATCGAAGAGACTGAGCAAAAAACTCTGTTGTGTATGGAAGCTGCCGAAGATACTAGAGAATCGGCGGAAAAGGCCTTCAACGCATATATTTCTGCGCTCTCGAAAATTTCGGCAGCCAGGGATGCGAGTGGATTAGTTCAGCTTCGAACTTTGGTTGATGAAGTGGGAGAAAAATATCTTGAATTGGTCCGAACTGTTGGATTAGCGTCTAGTATAGCCCAAGCTGCGGCGGATGATTTGCAAATTTCATATGAGGAACAAATGGATATGTTTGGTACAACGGAGGTTTTCTATGCTTCGGCTTTCGCGAGTTTGGCTGTTCCTGAAAATGAAGTATTGAATGAAAGCTCCGTCCGAGTGTGGTACGACGGAGTCATCGATGCCATTTCGAAGGCTGAAAAGAAAGCTGAAGCCGTTCAGCGCGGTCTGATATCGTTGAAGAAAGATCTCGAGTTGCAAGTTGAAACCGAGAAAGCAGAGGTGCAAAAGAACGAAGCAGACGAGAAGATGAGAATGCTAAAGCGTCAAGCGGAAGCTGCGCGTACAAGAGCGAAAGATATTGACATTGTGAAGCTCGGTTTACAACAGAAAGCGACTACGGAGAAGAAGAAAGGGACCGGCGGTCGCGAAATTTTACTTCAAGGATTTCACTGGGACTCCACGAGAGTCAAAGGCGCTACTGAATCTTGGTATGCGCGTATTCACTCACTTCTTCCGAAAATCAAAGAATATGGTTTCAATACGGTGTGGCTTCCGCCACCTACTGACTCAGTATCAGACGAAGGCTATATGCCGAGGGATTTATACACGCTTGATTCTAAATATGGTACTGAGATAGAGTTGCGAGACCTCGTGAAGGCCTTTCATGACGTTAACATCATTGTACTCGGCGACGCAGTATTAAATCATAGATGCGCACATGCCCAAGGTTCGAACGGTTTGTGGAATAAATTTGGGGGCAAGTTAGACTGGGATGAGCGCGCTATTGTTTGTAATGATCCAAACTTCGGTGGTAAGGGAAATCGCGGAGAAGGGGAATGCATTCACTGTGCCCCTAACATTGATCACTCGCAAGATTTTGTTAAAAAGGATGTCACAGAATGGCTTCAATTTATGAGACGCGAAATTGGTTTTGATGGTTGGCGTTTAGACTATGTGAAAGGTTTCAGTGGAAGACACGTGAGCGACTACATTGAAGGAACGGAACCAGAATTTTCTGTTGGGGAATACTGGGACTCTTTGAGCTACCAAGACGACGGGAAGCCATGCCATCCACAGGACGAGCACAGAGGTAGAATTATAAAATGGATTGAAGCAGCAGATCCAGCTAGAAAGAAGGGAGCAACGACCGGGTCAACTGGACAGACCAACCCAGGTGCTTTCGATGTAACTCTTAAAGGTATATTGCATGCTGTCATGGAATATGGAGAATATTGGAGGTTATCGCACGACGGAAAACCATCTGGTCTTCTTGGATGGTGGTCCAGTCGAGCTGTCACATTTATCGAAAATCACGACACTGGAAGTACTCAAGGACATTGGAGGTTTCCTTCTGGAACTGAGATGCAAGGATATGCTTACATCTTGACTCATCCAGGAACTCCTTGCGTGTTTTGGGATCACATATTCGAGGATGGTTGGAGCCACTTACACAAACCGATTCGAGATTTATTAGCCATACGTAAGGAGATGGATATTCATTACAAGTCAGACGTCGAAATAGTTCCATTACCACATGGTACAAGAGCCTACGCCGCGAAGATTGACGACTGCTTGTACATGAAAATTGGTCCAGATGACTGGTCTCCTCCGACCTCGGCCGGAACTATCTGGGACGTTGCAACTTTTGGAGAAAATTATTGCGTATGGGTAAAGAAAGGGAGCGAGGGATCCTCAGGACCTAGATGAGACGTTGAAAATGTGAGAAGAAATACACGAGAATGTGCACCATGCTTTCATTATTATTTGTATGTTCATCTGCTCTTCCTTTCTTTGCTTTCTAAAAATACTACCCTTCGGCGACTCTACACCTTTTTTTTCATAGGTCGAATCATCATAGTACAGCTATTGGGACCGACCATACCTGGTTCCTTCTCGAGTTCATAATCTTGCAACCAACCTTGCACTCGTTTCATCACGTTTTTACCTTTTGTCAAACGTTTGTCAAGTCCGATCTCGTCGTGAGCATTTTTGAAGTTGATACGGAACAGGACTTTGTGTCCTTCAAGCAAGAATTTATTCGCATTTTCTGTCTTCTTACTCAAATCATGGTCGTCAATTCTAGAGGTAATTCTTAATTCGCGTACTACGTCGCTCTTTTTCCTCAGGAGCTGTTTTTTCTTTTGTTCTTTTTCCCTCTTCTTCTGTTCAAAACGGTATGTTTCGTAATCTATCAGTCGGCACACAGGCGGCGATGCGTTTGGATTCACCTCGACGAGATCCAGATTTGCCCTATTTGCCTTCAGCAAAGCCTTCTCGATGGATAGAATTTCGTGGGTTGTAGATTTATCTTCGCTATGCTCGTCTTCTCTTCCCGGATCATTCACTAATCTTACAAATTTTGAGGTGATGTCGTTGTTCACTCTCGGTCCAACCCGAGAAGGTTCACCCTTGTTTCTGCTGCTGCTCCTGTCGTCTTTACTTGTTGAAGCTGTGTTCGGGGCAGAATTTCGTTTCCCACACGCGGGCGCGCACGAGTGGAAATCGCGCGCGCGATGATGCGAATTCATATTCCATTGGCTATCGTACTGTTCCTTGACTATAGTTCCAATCGCGCGCGCTCCATCGCGCGCGTATCGATTCCTGGGCACCGACGAATTTTTAATCCCAAAACTACTACTTCTTCTGTCGTTTTGCATTTGCTTTTTACTCCTCTTTTGCGCTATGGTTGTTGTTGTTGATGATGATGATGATGATGATGACGACGACGACGCCAACGATGAAGATGTACGCCGTCGTAACAACGAGGCACCTTCTCCAGCGCTTCCGTGTCCTCTGAAACCGCACGCGAGCACGAGCTCGGACAGCTGAGAGAGGGTGCTGGTGGTGTTTGGTACAACTTTTCTCATATTGAGGATTTTTTCTGCTTCTCCCCCTCACAACTCGCACACGAATAAATATTCTCTCATCATTATAAATAAAGAGAGAGAGAGGGAGAATGGCTGTGCTCACTGAACTTGGTAATGGAGAATCCGCGGGATTAGGTTTAGGACACAACTCTGACGTATGTTTTTTCCTTCTTTTCCTTCTTTAATCTGTTTTGCTTTGCGTGTTTTCGTATCGCGTTTCTTTCATTTCTTCTTCTTCAAAATTCCGACGGACTGACTCGTCGCCCTTGTCTTCCTCTTTTCTTCTTTCTTTTTTTTTTAATGAATGAAGTTGCCACCGAGACCGAAACTGAGAAGGAACGCAAAGAAAAACGTCAACGTCGAGAATGTGACTCCCATCGCACAAGAAGCGAAACTGCCGAAAAAAGTAAACAATCAAATAATAACGCTAGCCTTCACGTTAGCACTCATTGTGGCTGTTTTTGGAACCATAGTAGCTGTAGCGCTGTTGTATTTTGTTAAGAAGATGCGATGAGAGAAGTCGCAGAGCGTATTAATCAATTTGAGTCAAGAACTTCCCTCTCTCTTTCTATTACAAAGAGCCCGTTATCTTAATTTATCTATTTCTGGTTTTTGTCCAACTCCTCAACTAACGCTTTCTCTTCGTTACTGATCTTATTTGGAATGGTCACTTTCACCTTAACGTACTGATCCCCTCTTACGTTGGGATTTCCCAACTTCGGAACCCCGCGCTTTGCCATGAGAAGTGTAGCCCCAGGCTGTACTCCGGTAGGAATTTTCAAATCAACAGTACCATCAACAGTACGCACTTTTACTGTCGTTCCAAGAATAGCCTTCGTATACGGAATGGTCACAGTTGTGCTTATGTTTATGCTTTCAAAACGCTTCAAATCTGGATCTTCGCGAACAGCGATGAAAACATACAAGTCCCCTGGAGGCCCACCTTTTCTTCCGGCATTCCCCTCAGATCTTACGCGCAAGCGTGAACCAGAATCTACACCCGCAGGAACTCGTAACGATATGCGTTTGCTTTTTCGAACTCTACCATCACCACCACATTTTGGGCATGGCGTTGAAGTCTGTCCGTTACCGCCACAAGCTTGGCACGTCGTAACTTGCTGAAAGTTACCGAGCGGCGTGCGGACAGTAGCGATAACTTGGCCCTGACCTCCACAAGTTCCACACGTACTTGGGCGCGTGCCAGCTTTGACACCAGATCCAGAGCAAGTATCACAATCTTCCAAGCGCATCACATCCAACTCCTTCTCACAGCCAAAAACAGCTTCTAAAAAGTCGATTTCCAAGTCGAAGCGTTCGTCGTCACCCTGTGTCGGTCTATTTCGAGCTTGCGCCGAGGAACGTCCACCCATTCCACCCATTCCTCCCATTCCACCCATTCCAGCACTTCCACCGAAAAAGGACTCGAATAAATCGAAAGGGTTCGTGAAGTCACCCATACCAGCTCCTCCGTAGCCACCCCCGCCCATTCCATTTTTCAAGCCAGCTTCGCCATACTGATCATAGATGGCCTTCTTCTGGTCGTCCGATAAAACTTCGTATGCGTTGGAAATCTCTTTGAACTTATCTTCAGCACCTGGTTCTTTGTTCACGTCTGGGTGATATTTTCGGGCGAGTTGACGATACGCTCGTTTCAATTCCTTCGTATCCGCGCTTCTCGAAACACCTAAAAGTTCATAATAATCAGTTCCAGCCGTCACGATCAACGTTTTTCCTCTGCTCTGTTTTTTTTTGCCTCCTCCTCCTCCTTTTTTGTTGATGTTGTTCCTGATGGTGGAGGTGATGGCGGTGGCTTTCTTTGTAAAATCCGTGCTCCTGCCACCCCCGTTGGCGAACGAAGAAGAGGACGCGCTCGCTGTCGCCGCCGTAACGACAGAGCCCGAGCGGCGAATGTATCCTCCTCCACCACCTCGACCATTTTTGGCGTTGTTACGAGTAGCGCACGCGCACGGCGAAGAGGAAGAAGAAGGACGAAAAGAATGACCTTGTGGAGGCAGGATCTTCTTCGTCCGAAATGTCGTCGTCGTCGTCGTCGTCGTCGTCGTCGTCGTTCTTTGCAAGCTCGCGGAAGGGGAAGCAAAAATGGAGGAGGCCATGTTTAACTCTTTCTATTGCAAAGGATCTGCGTGCTCTATGCGCGTTCGATTCTTTTCTGTGTAACTAAATAAAGTTACCCGGTATATCGGAGAGAGTATTCGCGCGCGCGCCGTCGTAGTGTTTTCGAAGAGAATCAATCTTCTTTTTTTGTGGAGTTGTGGATGAGAGAGAAGGAGGCAGCCACGGGCTTAAATTCGATCGCTCAATTTTGATCGATTTTGGACTCTTTTTTTTTCTCAAAGGATATCATATATTACTTGACAGTGTAGAAAGCAGATGGTTGTATGTTACGAGTATATATTTCAATTATACGTAAAAATGGAGACACTCTTATCGCTCGAAACAGACGCTACGCGAGTACCGTGGGTGTTAAAACTCACGTCCCAAACTGCATCCTTGTGACTTTTATCGATTTGGATACATTGGCGCGAGGAAACGTCCCACAACTTTACGGATTTATCTGCGGAACCAGATACTAAGCTATTCCCATCAGGAGAGGCCGCTATGGATAAGACCCACGATGTGTGACCAGAAAACGAATCAATCAACTGTTTGCTAGTAACGTCGTATATGTGTATAAAACCATCATCTGAGGCGGTATACAAACACTTCGAGTCCGGGGAGAAGCATACGCTTCGCACTGGCAACTTATGACCATCAAACTGTCCTAAGACCTTTCCGCTCTCTGCATCAAAGAGACCGACCGTACCATTGGTCGTACCGCACGCAATGTATTTACCATTGCTTGAATAAGACACAGAATAAACAAACCTATTTTGATGTTCCTCTCGTACCGGCACTTCGTAAGAAAATTTAGCGTCGTTATGAGTTTGATGCGCAGAAGTACTATCGGTCGAATTTGCTACCGTTGAGAAGAGCTTGACGGTGCCAGAGACCCCGCCTGCCACCGCGATGTGTTTCGAATTTTTGCCAGGCTCGAATGCAATCTCCCAAGACTCGCTCGGTGCGCATTCAATAACTGTTCTTGTCTCTGACGATTCTAGTTCCCATACGCGAATCATCGAATCTAACGCAGAACTCGCCACCAGCCCAGAATCACTCGCAGCAACTGAAACAGCACCTAACGTGTGTCCAATGTAATCTTCTTTCTTCTCAATTTCTCCAGAATCGCTGGCTTTCCACGCGCTGACAGTTTCGTCGAGCGATCCAGTGAAAATCAAATCGTTCTCAGAAGACGAAGACGAAGCAAAGCAGACGGACCACACGGAGTCCGCGTGAGCGCTTTCTTTCGAAGAAAGAGGAGAAATTTTGACCATGCTGTATTGTTTCTATTCTTGCTTGCTTGCTTGCTTTCCCTCTCTCTCTCTCTCTCTCTCTCTTTTCCTTTTCTCACTCAAGTTGAGAAGGAAGTCGCGGTTTGTGTGGAGGATGAGACCTGAATTTTCTCTTTTTCTCTTCCTGCTTTTTTGTCCCGGATTGTCCTCCTCCCGTCCTCGCCAAAAAAAAATTCAGTGAAGTGTGCCTGCACAAGAGAGAGAGAGAGAGAGAGAGAGATCACGCGCATAAAAAGGCTCTGTTTACTGCTACAAACGTTTTCCTCTTATTACAAATAATAGTTTATTGGAGAAAATCTGGAATAGAGCTCGAACTTTCCGAACTTGGACTTTCAAAAGGCGTTTGCGTTTTGAACCCGCTTTCCTTCGCGAGCTCTTCCAAAGTTTTGTCGCCCTCTACAGTCTTGCCGTTAATTACCCAGGTTGGAAACCCTTTCACTTTCGCGTCCGCGCAGACTTTCGCTATCTCGGTTCCTTTTTGCCAACCCTCTGGGAAGCATTCTACATAAGGAAGCTCCGTATCTTTTCCAAACTCTTCTTTTTGGTCCAAGCAGTGGCTGCACCAAAACGCGCCATACATTTTTGCTCCGGACTCTTTTAAATACTTTGCAAGCTCTCGCGAGTACTGCGTGGACACTGCCTCGATTCGCGGAGTTTTATAGGATAAAAATTGAGACTCCCCTCCTTCGTCTGCTTTATCCGCTCCAAATCCCAAGACTAAACTCAAAGAGAGCATAGTGACGAAGAAAAGTGATACTGCAGGTGGTGAGGCGTTCACTGTTTCTTTCGGAGTTAATCCAGAGAAGCCAATGGAAAACAAGGCATAGGATATCGAAGCCGAAGTTAAACAGTATATGCATTCGACGCCTCCAAGCTTTACCGCCAGGACATACAGAAGGTACGAAGAAACTCCAGCCAATCCACACGTACTGAGAAAGAACAGTACCCGAGATTTCTTGTATTTACTTTCCGACTCTCTAGATTCCTCCGGATTGATGCTCGATCCCGAGAACGCGAGGAGTGCTACGACAAAATAAGCCACGGCGCCGTATAATGAAAGGGGTTGGCCAAAAAGTTCAGCGTACGACGAGTTCAAAGCCGTTTGACAGCCACCAACGGGGCAGACCACGTCACCTCCGGACAGCTTTTGCACGGCGAGATACGTTGACTCTAAGGATCCTACCAGCGCCAAAGCAGCAGCAACTTTTAAAGGAGGTCGTGGGATTACTCCGCTTTCAGATTCCTTGTTTGGAGTGCTCATCATCACGGTCGAGTCATCTTTTGACTTCACGTTCACGGGCGGTGCTTCATTTGTTTCTGGAGAGGACGACTCTGCTTTACAAATCAGTGACGATATCTTGTTTTGGTTACTTCTTCTCGCATTGATTTTTTTTTCTCGTTCTCGTTCTCTTCCTGAGCACGCGTGCAGAGTACGACTACTCAGCATCGAGATGGAGGCAAATGGAGTCATATTAATTGATCTTATTTGTGTTGCTCTTCTTGAAGAAACTGCATATCGTGCCGTGGTCGTTCTTCTCGTCCCTGTCGATGGCATTTGATGTTGTTGTATCCGCGTTTTCATATTCATTTTCATCGTCATCGTTATCGTCATCGTTGTCGTCGTTCCTTATTCCCTTTCTTTCTTTTCTACTCTCTATCTCTCTCTCGCGCTGCTGAGTGCAATGTAACTCGTTCTTTCTGATTTCTCGAGCGTGTGAAGCGCGCTCAAAGAAGAAGATTGGAGTGGAGTTTAGGTGGAAAGAGAGAGAGGAGGACTGACGAGAAAAAGATTCACACAAATATTTTGCACAAAATCACACAAGAAAACAACTGAAAAATTGAACCACACACACACATAAAACACAAACAGAACGAACAAAAAGTCCACAGAAGAAGAGAAGTTGTAGTTGTTTCCACCCTTCCTTGCGACAAGAAAAGAGAGATGAGGAGTACGATGATGATGACGATGATGTCGAGCACGCCGCGCAGCATTCACGCGGATAGAACCAGGAGCGTTCATCCTGCGTACAATTTGAACAGAAGGAGCGCGAGCACGCGAGAAGCAAGAACAACATCAACAACAACAACAAGCAGAACGCGAGGAGGAGGAGGAGATGTGCGCTTTCGTTCCTGCCAACCTTGTTTTGCGTTCGGAGGAAAACGAGGACGGGACCCGTTCGCGCCGACGAAACAGAAAGTTGCACCCCCGACGTTGCTTTCTTCTTCACTTCAAGAAGAGGAAAAATCTGAATTGCCCAACTGTTTCGAGAAGAAGGAAAAGGATAGCGAAGACGAGAAGGACGAAAACGATATAATTCCAAACATTTTGCGAACTCCACGAGAAAGGCGGCGAGAGAACGAGGCAGAAATTCCTAGTGGAGAGAGCGAGATACGTTTCGTTTCTCTTAGTGAACTCTTTCCCGAAACCGGCTTCTCTCAAATATTTCATAGAGAAGCTTGCTTTCGAACCGCTGTGCGCGCAGCAATGCGAGAGGATCTCTTTAAAGAAAGCGCTTTGCTGTCTGAGAATCAGAACAAGGCGATCAAGTCTCTAAACAGTTCTCTCATGGTTCCTTGGGGGCAAATTCCAAAAGATTCCGAACTCAACGCTTTGACAAAACTATTCAAAGAGTACAAAATATCCGATCTGACCGGTAAAAAATTTATCGAAGAGATAACAAAACTATGTGGTTCCAATCCGCACGGCAGTTTAATAGATATCAGCAATCCTGCGCTGAATAGAAAGAAAATGAAACATTCTTGGCATCAAGATTCTGGGTTAGACGATCGTTTCACTGTGATGTTAGGATTTCCATCGGAAAATCTCCGCAATGCGAATGAGCTAAAGGAGGGTGTTTTCTCCCACGCCGTGAGGCTTTCCCATCGCGTGTTTTGGCCAAACGACGAGGTTGGAAGCGTCATCGAGTGGGAAAGCTTTCCTTGCGGGGAGCCACGAGATCATGAAATTGCAGAATCATACATTATTAGGCCACTGTATGGAATTAACCAAGAAATAATGGTGTATTGCGACGCTAAAGTTATCCATTCAGCACCAGATTTTATCAACAGAGAAGCAGTCTGGCGGTTCATGTGAACTTTCTTTCAAGTTTGAATTAAAATTTACAAAGTTACGATACACATTATACGCTTAGCTCTCGCCCTCTTATTGCTCGTGCAACCCTTTCTTCTCTTCTTTCTGCCAATGATTGGAAAAAAGTTCATCCTTTCCCAATACGTTCTCCATGCTGAATAATTTCTCGTTATGCACGCCGAATTTGGGAGCGCAACGATAGTGGCGTTTCTTTGGGTGTTCGTTCGATTCAATCTTTCTGTACTCGAGATCAACCTTTTCGGCAGCAGCTCTCCAATCAGGATACGCAAAGTTTACGGCAGCTTTCCATCCCACACCTAAATTTACGCCCCAATGCACCGAGCCATAATCGGTTACGACGTATTCCCCTGGGCCTTGCACGTGTCTATAGACTTTCAACTTGCGATTGTTACCGAGCCTTCTCGCGTTCCAGTTTGCTATAATTTCCGGATTGATCCATAACTCTCTCGATTCCAGGCAATCGATTTGGTATTTACTCTTTAAAGTATCCTTGAGGAATTCATGTAACAAACCAATTTGCTCGCTCGGTATTGAATACCATACTACCCAGCACTGCGTAGATGGATCTGCTACAATAACATTTGCTGAACCGAGCGCATAATCCTCAAAGTGCATCGGGAAAAAAGAAAATGGACTCATATAGTATAACCACGGATTCACGATTCCGGCCCCCCACTTCTTCTTCTTACTTGCCTCGCACGATGCTTCAAAGAATCTTTCCTGAAAATGTTCCAATTCTAGTTTCTCTGCGTCGTTTAATTGATCCTCTTGAGAAGAATTGGGTGGGGATTTGCCAGCCATCGGAGCGGAAACGCTGCCGATGCTTACTTTTTTTGATCCTCCTCCGCTTTTCCCAGCTTTTCTCTTCCCTCCGCCAGTCTTCTCTTTTTCCCCAGAAAGCAAGCGTTTGCGTTGATTTCGTCTTTTTCTAGCTTCGAGATCGCCCTCGACAGCTTTTGCCCCAGTTTTAGCAATTTCGTCTTCTTGTCGTCTTTTGAACCTGTTGACTTTGTTTTCTTTTTCGCCGGCCAATTTTTCTTCTGCGATTTGTCTGGCGTGCGGCGAACACGCTGCCTCACAAATTTTTAGCAACTGACGAGTTACACTCGTTGGTCTTTCAGCAAAGTCAAATATATTCCACGGATTTTGGGAAGGAAGACCGGACAATGCTTTCTTTTCACCACCGTCCATGGCAACGACAGCAACACCCTGCAAGTATGGGTACTGCGCTTGCACCTTGTTTCGAATTTGAGTGATAAAAAACCGCTCGCGCTCAACGACACCCATTAACCGCAACGGCTGCGCCGCAAACTTAAAATTTTCTTGTATTTCTTCGACGAGAGCACCAAATTCAGCGCGAGCCGGATCATATCCATCCATGTCTTGATACTTTCTTAAAATTCCGGTTTCCGGATCTGGAAGCGTTTGGCGAATGTATTGGTAATCCGGACCGAGAGTTTGCAATTTTACTCTTGTATTTCTAATCCAGTCCAAGTTTAAGAACGTACTTGCGTTTGTGTTTTCGTCCCAACCACTGTTGTGCAGCTTCAAGACCATTGCGCCCTGTTTTCTGAATAGTTTTGTAAAGGCAGGATCTTTACCGCTTTCAAGGAAATCTTCCGGCTTCACTTCCATAGATCTCGTCTTCGCCCAGTGAGCTTCATAGATACGATTCTGAAAAATCGTCTGCGTTTGCGATGAACTGTGGCGATGAAATTCTAAAAGCTTACTTCCCTTCGCTCCTTTCTCGGCTTCCTCCCAATCCTCTTCTTCTTCCTCTTCTTCTTCTTCTTCCTCTTCTTCGCGGTCGTCTGCGTACTCTTCCTTCTCTGCTACATTTCTCACGTTGTTTCTGCCATCTTCTTTACCTCTAGTGATCGCTGCTTTATTCTCTTTTTCGTCGTCTCCATCCTTTCTCCTTCCTTCTCTTCTTTTTATTCTATCGATGAGGTACTCGATTCTGGCAGAGTGCCTTTCGGCGTGTTCCTTTGCAGAGTCCTCCGCGTTGTTCTTGAAGCGATACTCCCACTCTTGGACGATCCAGGAGATGAGTAAATCATAGGAGTCCCCTAAGGTGAAATTCGGCTTCTCAACATCCTCCGAGTAAAATGAAGCGTGGTTGTTTTGGTTCAAGTCTTTCCGCGTTTTCTTCGACGTGTTCAAGTTTGCATCTTGGAGCACTTCGTCCAGAACTCTACTGTACAAGTCGTTTTTCAGTTCCTCTTCTCGCGTATTCTCTCCTGTTCTGATGTTGTTGCGGTCGTCGTTTCTATTCTTTTTCTTTGTAGCCTCTTCGTTGTCGTTCGTGTTCACGATCTCTTCTTCTCCTTTTTCCTCCACCTTCTCCTTTTCTTCCTCTACGTCGTCGTCGTCGTCGTCGTCGTCGTCGTCAACGAGAGGAAAGAAAATTGAATCCCATAATCTATCGAGCACGTTCGCACATACGCTCTTAAACTTCCCTTCGTCCCTCTCTTTTTCTTGCTCGCAAACGTCAAGAATGCGCCGAACGTAAACTTTGACCTGCTCTTGAGCGTGATGGAAGTCTGAAGGATGTGCCTTCATTTCATATGACTTTATTGGAACCACCTTCAGGAACAAAAACGATATGGAAATGAGGAGAGTTTTGGAGGGAAAAGGAAAACGAACAGTCCTGTCGTCAAAAATATCAGAAAAAATTAAACAAATTTTCTCCTCCGACATCATTCACTATAGTTCCCGAGTTTCTATTCACATAAAAACTTATTGATTTATTTAGTTTATATATACACTTTAAAAACACCTTAACTTTGAATTTCCAGGGAATAAAATTAATTTTAATTAAAATATTTCCTTTACTATACTCCAATATTATCATTTCCCGATAGAAGCGTAGATAAATTATTAATTTAATTTATATTTTCGAAGAGTATTATACTCTACAAGTGCAATATGGTCTTCTTTTGGGAATTGCAGAAAGAGCTTTTAGTCTGTATTGTAAAGATTTATTTTTAATAAATTAATAAATTAATTAAAATTGTTTTGTAAGATACATTCTCCCCAACAAAACATTTTCTAGTTTTTATATCATTGATGAAAAATTAATTAATGTATCTCGCTGTTGCTTTTCGCTCGGATCAAATGCCGTCTACGTGTGTAGAGTGGGGAGAAATTTTTTTTCCAACCTCCCCCTTTTGCCTTTTTTGATGAAAAAAAATGAAAAAAGAAGACAAAACTTAAGAAGTTTCTCCATTGCATAAAAAGAAGACAAAATGAAGAGACGAAATGTTCGGACGGAGGGCCAAACGTCTTCCGATCAAATGTTCAGAAGCAGCAATGGCAACAAGAACTTTGTTGTTAAGGCGATAGCTTCTTTGGACGCGTATCCCAAAGTGAAGGAGGATTACGCCCGAGGATCGACTTTAGGCGCTGCAATCACCTTAATCTGTTTCCTCGCCTGCTTGTGCTTGTTTTTCAGCGAATACCGAACGCATCTGGTGAGCAAAATAGAGAGCGAGCTGGATGTCGACACCATGGGAGTGAATAAATTTGAATCGAACGCCGAGCGGTTACACGTGTACGTGGATGTAACATTTCACAGCTTGGCGTGTGAGTTGATTACTCTAGATAGTTTAGACGCGGCGGGAGAAGTCCATCACGACGTCCACGACGGACACATCACGAAGCGGCGTTTGGACCGAGACGGAAAACCAATACCACGACGCGATTCATCTGCGAAAGACGACGTCGCGGTTACTCGCGAAAAACCAAACAAACACAAACACATAGAAAAGTTAGTTCGGGAGAAGGAAAAGGAGGAGGAAGGAAAGAAGAACGAAGGAGAACAAGAACAAGAACAACAAGAACAAAATCACGAACAACACGACGAAAAGAGACGTAAGCTTCAGAACACGGCGTTGGCTGGTTTTGGAGGCGGATTCTTTGATATCAACGCTTTAATTCACGAGCAGTTTCCAAACGGACTCGAAGAGGCGTTTAAGAACAAAAACAAGGAAGGATGTGAAGTGATGGGATATTTGGAAGTCAATCGCGTTCCAGGATCTTTTTCAATATCGCCAGGAAAGTCTTTGCAAATCGGCATGTCTCATATTCAATTGAATGTCGTCTCCCATTTGAACATGTCTCATACCATTAATAGACTCGCATTCGGTGAAGCATTTCCGGGGGCTCTGAATCTGTTGGATAAGAATACAAGATATTTACCTCCCAACGCCGTCCATCAGTACTTTCTCAAAGTCGTTCCGACTTCGTTCGCTCGACTGAAAGATACCACTTTGGCGACGAACCAGTACAGCGTAACTGAGAGTTCATCGTCCGCGAAACAAAGTTTCTTTGGCATGGGTAGCAGTGGAAAACCGTCAGGAATATATTTCCATTACGAACTGAGTCCTATTCGAATAGACTTCAAGGAGAGGAGAAATAGTTTTGGAGAATTCATGCTGAGCGTGTGCTCGATAATTGGCGGAGTGGCAACATCATCTGGAATCCTTCACAAGCTCATCGTATTCATTCAAACCCGAGCGCGAAGTAAAAAATAGAGAACAGAACAGAACAAGCCTTTCGTTATTTCCATTATTGTTATTATTGATATTAGTATATAGTACCATGGTAGTTATTCAATAAAATTTGATGCACTTAAAGATAGACAATAACGCAACTTTACTTTCGCGGTGCGATTGTTTCCGGATGTTCCGGGTTGAATACCGTCATTGGCGTATGCTCAGCGTTATACCCGTCAAGCCGCAACTTTTGAACGTAAAATTCTGGAAACTTTTTTTCGATTTCGTTTCGAGTATCTTCGACTCTCTCCGTTGCATCGGAAATATACAGCGGCTCACGGAATTTGATGTTTAGCCATGGCGTCGGATCTAAGCGACCATCGATCATGCGCTTCAGAAATTCGGACCATTTTCCAGAGCCGAGGTTCAAATCGATTTCGTCACGAACCATTTGAGTCATAGATATTCGTTGATATCCGCGAACAGTGCCAAGATCGATCCAATCAGTTTCTTCCGCGCTTCCTATAATTTGTAACCAATGTTTGATATTTCCCGCACCTACGACTTCACCAACTCTTCGTTCCAGATCTCTGCTCACGAGTATTTCCAGCGACTCGTCGCTTCTGACTCTCTGCCCAGCGGCAACTGAGATTTCCAAAGCAACGTGCTCAGCACACAACCCATGCTCGTGTCTCCACCAACCCGATGGAATGTAAAGGATGTCTCCTGGTTCGAGTATGCAAGTCATCCCTCGCACGCCAGAAAAGTTCGGAAACTGTCCGTCGTTCACGTCGTCCAAATCAACCATGCTAAATTTGTCGTACGGATGGGCAATCGGGTACGGATACATGCCCTTGTAAGTTTGATCTGGATTTATCAGGAGAATTCGTCTGCGACCGTGGATCTGAACTATGAACGAGTCTTCGAGACTATAACGGGAAGGACGAAGACTGTCTCGACAACCCGCCGACAGCTTCATAGAGAGAATCGAACCAAAGCGTTGAAAGCTCAGTAAACTCTGGAACCATTTCCAATCGAATAAACTTTCTAAATCTCCTATGGCTAATGGTCCAATTTTTGAATCAAAGATACCTTTCTCCATCACGTTGGAGGAAGACATCGTCTTTCTCGAGATTGAATCTTTCGTAAGAACGCTCTCGAAATAAATTGACTTATCTTTCCACGCACGCGCACACTGAACAAACTCGTGGAAAGTACAATCGAGCGACTGTGTTTCTGGTTCTCTGACGTAATAATCCGAGCCGAGGATATTTTTTGATTCATCGTGCTCGATGAATCTGTGTTTATCCGAGGGGCAAACGAAACATTTCCACGTATGCGTGGGCGCGCCGTTTCCTCCATCATCTGGTACACCCAGGATTTTAGCGAGGTGATCGAAATTCCACACCTGAGCAAGTCCGATTTTCGAATCGGCGTTGAACTTTGCGTCGAGCTTTCCAACGACTCCAGAATTTCTCAGCAACACTGGTTCACCGCGTAACATTGCGTCCATAACTTTGTTCTTTCTCCGAATATCTCGCGCGTTCAAATCGCACCGGGAAATGACGCAACTTGTTCTTGTTTCTTCTTTTTCTTTTTCGAGATCGCATGCGAAAGGTATGTTTGTGAGATCAGAAAGAAGAGATTTTGGAAATCTGAGAGGAGGATCGGTCGCCACAGCGCCGAGCTCGAAATCTTCGTGAGAAACGTCGTTGATCCGCAGAGGAGGAACAATGGCTGCTGCTATGGTATCAATTCCTCTCTCGATTTGCGCTTTGCGCGGTTGCAAGATCCCGTTTCCGAATTTATTCGACGTCGTCCTCTTCTCGTTGAGTTTTTTGGAACGAATTTGATTCCGCAACAAACTCTCTAAATCGTTCTCGCTTTTCTCATCATCATCATCGCCATTATTATTCGTTGTTGTTGCTGTCATTTGAGTTACTCCAGTAGGAGTTGGAGGAATGCAACAGGTTTTCAACCCTCTTCTTCTTTACTTTGAGTTAGTTCACTTCTACAACAATGCGGAAAAGAAAAGAAAGAGTTTCAGAGGAAAAACGCCTGCTTTTTTTTTGGGCGTTTTTTTCAAGAAGAAGAGACTGCTTTTCAACGACAGAGAAGAATTTGAACCAATTTTTTGCAGAACAAAAAAGAGCTGTTCTTCTGTTTGGGAGCCGACGAGCCGCCACTACGTACTCGTAAAATGCAAAAAGAAAAAGAATTCACCACACGCACGACGCGCGGACAAAGAGAAAATATTTATTAAAACAATAATGAGCGACGACGAGGAGAGGAAGAAGAAGAACTTTAAGAAGGAGAAGAAGAAAGAGAAGAAAGAAAAGAAGAGAAAAGAGCGGGAGGAAGAGAAGGAGAAGAGTAAGAAGAGTAAAAAGAAGAACAAAGTGGTGAAAGAAGACGAGGAAGGAGAAACGACGACAAATGCCAAAATCGTTGGCGATTTCGGCTTGGCAAAGAGCGGTGCCCCGTTCAAGAAGAAGTTCTACGAGCCTTCTGAATCTATTCTTCGTTTATCCGAGAAAGATGTCAAGGAACGACGCGATTCTTTGGCGATTACCATAGAAAATGACGGCAAGAAATATAATTTTACGCCGCTCGCTACGTTTCAAGAGGCTGGGTTTCCAAAGGAAATTTTAGCTGTCTGCAAAAATTTCCAAAAACCTTCTCCCATTCAAGCGCAATCGTGGCCAATCATCATGTCTGGCCACGACATGGTTGGAATTGCCGCGACTGGGTCTGGCAAGACTTTAGCCTTTGGATTGCCAGCTTTGACACAAATCAAAGCACAGCCACCGTGTAAACCTGGGCAACCAGCGTGCCTCGTTCTCGCTCCTACTAGAGAACTCGCACAACAAACAGCGAAGGTTTTTGACGACGCTGGAGATGCGACGGGTATAAAATGCGTGTGTGTGTACGGCGGAGGACCAAAATATTTACAGAAACAAGAGATGAAACAGAGCGGTTTTGCTGTAATCGTCGCAACACCCGGGCGCTTGCGAGATTTCATGAACGACGGAGACGTACGTTTAGATAGAGTTACGATCTTAATTTTAGATGAAGCAGATCGAATGTTAGATTTAGGCTTTGAGCCTGAGATTCGAGCCATTGCAGGAGCAACGAGAGCAGACAGGCAGACGGTAATGTTTAGTGCTACTTGGCCGAACTCTGTCCAAGGATTGGCGGCTGAGTTCATGACGAATCCCATCAAGTGCAGAATAGGTGCGGAAGGTTTGAAAGCCTCTCACAGCATCAAACAAATCGTTGAAGTCGTAGAGCCGCACGAAAAAGATCAGCACTTACACCGTCTTTTGAATAAGTACTTAGGTTCGGAAAAAGTTACGCCGCGTTGCCTGGTTTTTGCGCTGTATAAGAAAGAGTGTGCCCGAGTCCATGATTTACTGCGGAGAAACTGGAAATCTGCATCTATTCATGGCGACATGTCCCAGCATGACAGGGAGCAATCTGTTGCTTCATTTAAAAGTGGAAAAACTCCAATATTAGTTGCCACTGACGTTGCTGCTCGAGGATTGGACATACCGGGTGTCGAATATGTGATCAACTATACTTTTCCGTTAACCACGGAAGACTATGTACATCGAATCGGGAGAACTGGGCGCGCTGGGGCGACTGGTGTCGCGCACACACTATTCACCGTGCACGACAAATCGAGGGCCGGAGAACTAGCAAACGTTCTTCGAGAAGCTGGTGAAACAGTTCCTGAGAGTTTATCAAAATTTGGGACACACGTTAAGAAGAAAGAATCTAAATTATATGGCGCACATTTCAAAGATATTGACATGAGTGCAAAAGCGACGAAAATTACTTTTGATTGATTTTATTACCCCAACGCCGACGACGTTAGGGGCTAGGATAAACAGCTACGTAGATTATTTGTCTTATTCAATACTAAAACTACTATCACGCTATTTCGCTAAGTCAAATTCTTTGAGTAAATGGGATGAATTAGGGTAGACGCCTCCATCAAATGATTTTTCCAGAGTGTTTGGACCCAAGACATTTTCTAATATGTGGGCTGGATCACGACTTCCACCGTATTTTAGCATCTTATCCCGCAGTATCGTGCACCCTCCTTGTCCAATTTTATCGTTTGTGAACTCTTGTTGCCATATCTTTGCAGATAAACACTTCGCATATAAATAGCTGTAATATGATGATCCATAGCCAACGGTGTGACCGAACCGAAGTTCCCACGACGTCCCAGGCTCGCTCGGGATGAAGCTATGTTCGGATTGAATCTCCGAAGCTAGTTTACTTATTTCAGACGAATTCTCCACATCTATTTGATTACTATGAAGCTCAAGATCGAGTAAGGCGTAAACAATCTGTTGCTGTAAATCCATAGCCGCGAAAGCACGCTTTGATTGCTTCAGTTTTCTCAAGAGTGCAGCCGGTATCGCTTCGCCAGTTTGATAGTGGCGCCCCAAAAAATGAAGCGCGTTTGCGTCCCACGCAAAGTATTCAAACACATGGCTGGGAACCTCAACATAATCCATAGCACCTCTCGTTCCAGAAAGATGCTGAAATTCCGTATCAGACAGGACAGAATGCATTGCGTGGCCAAATTCGTGCAAGAATGTTTCGAGCTCTTGGTGTGTCAATAAAGTTTCTCGTGAGAAAGATTTTGCAGCAAAGTTGCAGACCAAGGCAACAGAAGCTGTTTGACGGGTTCCACCGCTTTTTTGCCGATGCCCACATCTAATAACAAAATGCGCCGCGTGGGGAAACTTTCCTTGCCTTGGAATGAGATCTAAATATATAATCCCTTCTGTATCAGTCCCTGGCACAGTGACTCGAAGTTTTTTTATTGCCTCGCCACACCACGATTCCCCCGGAATCAGACTATCTACTGCAATTTCTACGCCTAGAACTTTCCCGAAGAACTCATTCATACCCTTAAGGACACCATCGAGAGGAAAATACTGTGCTACAGTGTTTATGTCTGGATAATCATCCTTTGCTCGCATTTGTCGCATCAAGTGTAGAACATCCCAGCCACGAATTTTTTCTTCTCTTCCTCCACTTGCATTCTGCTTTTGTAGTTTTTCCAACATTTTAAATTCTCCTTCTGCTATGTCCCTTACCTGCGAGCTCAAATCTCTCAAAAACACTTTCGCACCGTTTGGCGTCTTCGATAACATAGAAGCCGTCATAAAATCCGCGTGAGAGGGAAACCCGAGAATCTCAGCGGCATCGTTTCGTGACTTTATTAAGTTACTCAGCGCCAGTCTGTTTCCTTCCGGACTTGAGTTTCCAGCTTCATACATTTGCCGCCGCACTTCACGATTATCGCACGCGCGCAGAATAGAATTCATAGTATTTTGATCCGCTGGAATTAGAGTTTGATTTCCTTTTTTACTACCAGAATGAATCCATGTCGGTATCGCTTCAAGCTCCTCGCGTTTTTTCAACTCAACATGTCTGATTTGTCGCGGATCTATCAAGTTCTGCTGGAATTGGAAGCCATGTCGCAACGCGTCGTCTGAATGTACCTCTAGCCTTTTTCGTTTTTCATCCGTTAAATGAATACCGCCTCGTTCAAAGTCTTGTCTAAGCGTTTGAGCAACCCTTCGTAACTCCTCCGTTTGTGACTCGTCTTCTTCTATCTTTGCGTCAACAAGACTTTGGTATAAGTCCACGTTTCCATTCAAAGTTTGCACAAAATTTTGCAATTTCAAGTACGTTCTTTCGGCAGCCTGTACGAATTCTCGATCAGGATGTGTATTGCGGCACAGTTCGGCAACATCTACGACCGCGCATATGGTGTCCGAAATCTCATCCAGTTGATGGACGATATTTTTTTCTCCCCACGTTGCGATTCTTTCTTCAACAACGCCAGCGGCCACCGTAGTATTACTGCGGTGCTTCCGAAGAACCTTTTTCTCTTGCTTTCCTTTAATATCACTGATGATATCGTTTACTCTATCAATGACATCTGCGGCCAATCGCTCGAAATCCTTTGGTGCATGTAAGCCAACTAAGCCGTACACTCCACTTTTCTTTCGTTCGTTATTAGAATTACGAAGCTTCTGCTCTTGCTGAGGATGGTAAAGTCGAGAAAAAGAAGAAGAAAAAGAACGCGACAAAGAGGAAAAAGAGATGGATGAAAGAGATCGCCAGTTACTTCGATGACGATATCGATTCATGTTTCCTTCTTCTTTCTGTTGCAAGTATTTTTAAAGAACAACAACAACATTTTTGTTTGTGTGTTTACACGCAGTTTTGTTTTGAAGAACTTTCTTTCAAGGGATGAAAATCGCTAAATCGCTAATTTGGCTACTGTGCGTGAAACTTTACGAGCCAATCACTGTCGGCTATTCTAGATCTCCGACAAACTAATCCAATCGCGTGTGCTATTTCACGCGATTACTACCTAGTAAAATACAAATTGTCGTAGGACCTGAGAAGAGTATCGTTCCTCTCGGGAGAAAATGTTTTAGCCTCTTGAAAAGTTTGTTGCAACCAAAACATATCTTCGTCCAAAACGAACAAGCCAACGTTGAAAGAGGGAAGGGAAAGAGAAGACTTCGTAGCTAAAATCTCTGCGACGCATTCTCCAGCGAAGCAGTCTGGATAGTCGATGAACTCATTTACGAATTCCATAGCAATCCCTCGCGAAACAAGAATCGGCCACAAGTCTTCATACAATCGCTTTCTTATAAATTTTCCTCTCTGAGAAACTCTGATGACAGCCTTCATCAAGTTCAGATGCACAGTTTTGTGATAATGCAGTCGAAACGACTGCACGAGGTGTGGCCAAAGATTGTGCACTAATGGGAGCACATTTTCTTCTTTTGTTGAAAAAATATTCAATAAAGCCTTCGCAATAATCTCCGCCGCGAGCGAACGGACTTTGAACTCAGTGCTCTCCAACAGTGCAGAACTGTACAAAAGTATATCCCGAGCAATAGACGTGTTGTCACTTTTGCAAACGAATAAAACCTGTTTGAAACAGTTCAATAAGACAACAGCGTGTTCCGAAAATAACTTTCTACTGCTCTTTGTTACTTTCAAAGTTTGTTGCAGAGATACGCTCAAAGGTTCCTCGATGAGTGAATCGATTGAATTGTTATTCTTGGAACTCAATCGCAATACCGTGCGGAATAACTGAGGAGCGCGCGGATATTCATCTAGATGTCGTAACTGGCGAACGAGTAGATCCACAACAAAATCACAGTTCTCAGAAATGAGTTCTACAGCACTGTCATAATTTGCGCTGGCGGCCACAGATTCCAGGGAACGTTGTGCAACTTCCGATGTGGTTTTATCACCGCCTTCGTCTGTAACACGACCGGAGTATTCTAAGAGCACGCGGAGCACTTTCGTCAAAAACGTCGTGTTTTTAATGTGATAAGGTCCGAGGGTTTCAGCGACGATGGCGAGTCCTTCAAGGAGTAATTCTTTCTGTTGTTGAAGTTCACGGTCATCGTTTGAGGAGAGCAAGTCCAATTTTGAGACGTACTCGTCAACAATCAAATTGAGCGCTACTTTTTTAGACGACACGTTTTCAGACGAAGTAGCGCCGCGTAAAATTTCGTTCGCAATAAAAACGTAGGTTGCAATCGCTTCATGCTGGAAACTCGATATTGACGTCACGACATCGTTTATTAAAAGCTCAAAAAATTTCGGATTCGCCACTGCGCCAATCTTTCTGAGAAGAATTTTACTCTGAGCACGCTGTGCTAACGCATGTACAAGCTTCCGTCTTGTTGACGTGCTCGACAAAAGTAAGTGCGAAGTTTCGTCTCCGCCTAATAAATCAATCGTTGCCAAAAGTCTCATTTCATTTTCTTGATAGAAAAAGCTAGAGTAGGATTTTGAAGTGGTAGAATCGAATCCTAAGTCGGCTTTCAATATGACTTTTATCATTTCAAGCGGGATGAGATTTTTCTCTTTCAAATGATCGATCTCACCTTTCGCGAACGCGGAGACTAATTCCCAGGAATCGTTCGATAAACTCAAAAGCGTTTCGAGTAGTATTCTTTGACTTTCGGGAAGGGTTTCTTTACAGTGTTCGAGAACTGTAGCGGAGAAAGCCGCGCAGGCTTTCCGCACCGTCGCGTGAGCGTGGTTCGCAAAGATTGGAATTGTAGAATTCAGAACAGAAGTCACCTTAGAAACGGTATCATCGAACCATTCTTTTGAATATTTGATCGTAAAAGGAGAAGCAGTAACGTTCAGTGATGGTGAATATACTTCTTTACCTTGAATCCAATCTTCGCGATGTTGAGCATCCTCTGATAAAACGCAGCAAACAATCTCGCTCAAACAATATAAACACTGCTCGATTGCCAAGTCGTCTATCCACTCGTTTTTGCTGCTGTGTAATAATTTAACGATTGCGCTAACAATACCAGGTAAGAAAAACGCTAGCGTTGAAACCTTGTGTTTCACGAAGCGTATGAGCTCAAATACTACTTTCAAGGAGGACTGCCGAATCTTTTGATGGTTTGCGTTTGTTTTGCCGCCAGATGCCAACTCGAGCAAACTACTAAACGCGAATCCCAAGAACGACGAATCAATATCCATCGTCCTCGTACCGTTGCGAATAACATTCACCTCCTTCAAAAGTATTAAGATGGTGTCATTTGTTGCTAGCAGAAGTTCTTCCGTTTCTTTCACTTTGGGAACCTGGAGGAGTGAAATCAAGTTTTGTAACAGGAGATGTTTTTCCTCCTCCTCCTCCTCCTTCTCAATAAAAGAAGCACGCGAGGACGACGTAACGTTCTTTCCGATGGACTTCAAAACGTTCTCTAGAACTCGTTTCCGCTGCGCCAGAGCTTTGTTGCTAATGTTACTCTTTTCGTTGCTGTAAAATTCTTGAAGCTCTGACTGTATGATAACAAGCGCGACATCGATATCAATTTGTTTCTCCTCGTTCAATTCTTCTTCTTCTTCTTCTTCTTCGTCTCCTCGTTGTCGTTGTTGTCCCGTGTAAAGAGAAGCACTCATGCCGCCCCTCTATCTCTGCGTAAAAGCACGTCTCTGCTCTCGCCGCGCATATTTCTCGATTTTTCCCTTGTTGTTTGTTGTTTCACGCGCGCGTAACGAACGAACGACAAAGGAATGAATGCGGAGGAAAAGCTTTGAGGACGACGAAAAAAGAAACGAAAAAAAGAAGAATTTGGAGCAGGAGAGGACTGGAGGAGGAGGAGGAGGAGGAGAGAAAATTTTAGGTCACAGAAGAGAAAAAAGAAGTCACAGAAAAAGAAGAAGAAAAATGATGCATTTGCGTAGCTCACGACACGTTTCTCTGTCAAGGACGCGCCAAGGACGCACAGTACACATATATTACACAACGCTTTCTCCTTTTTCCTCCTTCTACTTTCTCTCTCAATTCATCATATCAGTTGAACGGCGGCGATGGAAGGAATCTTTTCGCGAAGCTTTTGCGTGACCGCGACACGTACGGTCATGACTTTTGCAGCTGGTCCCGTAAGTTTCACCTTCACAATCGGTGCATCGACTTCGACCAGTTCGAGTTCTCCACCTCCTGTTCCGGCTAAGTACGGCCTTATTTCATCTAAAGTTGCTTCGATGTTTTCCTCCGTCAATTCTAATCCTTCCTCCTCGTCCACGAGTTGCATGACTTCCTGAATCTCTGGGATTTTTTCCATCAAGCGGCGCTCAATACCCATTCGCATTGTCACCGTGGAGCTCGGACAGCTTCCACAGGCGCCTTGCAATCTCAATTTAACCACTAATCCGTCTATTTCCACCAGCTCAACGTTTCCACCATCGGAGATTAAATACGGTCGAACTTCATCTAACACTTTTTCTACGTTATCGCCTGTCAACTCCAAGGTTTCGTTGATGGAAGAAGCGGGTTCTCCTGCGGCTCTCGTCGTCGTCGGCGAGGACGACGATTTCTTTCCTCCTCCAACTTTTATTCTTTGCAACACTAGCGATGATACTTTCTGATGTCGTCTGATGTGTTTGTGTTGGTGGTACGAAGTGCTCGCAGCGGCGGAGAGAAGGCCCCGGGATCCGCAAGGAGAAGAGGGCAACGTGGCCAAAGAGTTCATGAATTTTTTTCTTTTTTTGTGTCGTTTGTTGTGTGTGGGGTGTTGATTCGTTTGTTGTCCTTTTTTTGTATCTTATCAAAAAACACTCAAATTACCTCGTCAGAACTTCAGAAGAAGAGAGCGGATACAAAAAATGTTGCACACGTTTTGTGCTCGAGCCGCGAATCGGACGGTCGTCGTCGGCAAGAACGTCAGCAGCGGCGGAGGGAGAACAACATCGCGTTCAACAACAACGAGCAGCAGCAGCGCGGTTTGGGTGAGGGCGAGACAACGAAGAATTTCTCTGTCGTCTTGGTCGTCGAAAAAGGGGAGCACTTTGCGGCGGTTTTCGACGGCTGCCGCTCGCACGAGCACGACAAGCAACAACGGCGACGAGGAGAGCGAAACGAGGAAACAGTCCTCTCACAAGATAGCGCCCACGATATTACAAAACCGCTTGGTTCGACCCGAGCGCATCGCCGTGCAAAGAAACTTCTCCTCCTCTAATGCTGCTGCAGCAGGAGCGTCGCCTTCACCACCTCCCACGAATGCCGCAGAAGATAAAAACGAACAGACGACACAGACGCTAATGTTACACAACACGATGTCTAGAAAGAAAGAAATTTTCAAACCTCGCGCAGAGAATGGAAACAAAGTTCAAATGTATGTCTGCGGCGTAACTGTGTACGATTATTCGCACATCGGTCACGCTCGCGTATACGTAGCTTTTGATGTCTTGTATCGCACTTTACGACAGCTCGGGTACGACGTAACGTATTGCAGAAACTTCACGGATATAGATGACAAAATTATTAATCGTGCGAATGAATCCGGCACATCTTGCGAAGAGTTAACGGAAAAGTTTATTCAGGCGTTTCACGAAGATATGGAAGCACTTGGGTGTTTACGTCCGGACTTGGAACCCCGGGCAACGCAGCACGTTGGCGATATAATAGATTTAATCACGCGCCTAATCGAAAAGAACCACGCGTATGCAGTCGATGGTGATGTATACTTTTCGGTCGACTCTTTATCAAAGTATGGATCTTTATCTGGTAGAAATCAAGAAGATAATCGTGCGGGAGAGCGGGTTGTAGTTGACGGCAGGAAGAAAAACCCGGCAGACTTTGCTCTATGGAAAACAGCAAAGCCGAATGAACCTGTGTGGGAGTCTCCTTGGGGTAACGGACGTCCAGGATGGCACATTGAGTGCTCTGCTATGATAGAAAAACTTCTCGGCCCGGTAATTGATATTCACGGAGGAGGTCAAGATCTCGTGTTTCCACATCATGAAAATGAACTCGCTCAATCCAGTGCTGCCTGCGATTGCGAGATACACAAATCAGAAGATAAAAAATTTGTAAGATATTGGGTTCATAATGGTTTCGTGAAAGTTGATTCGGAGAAGATGTCGAAGTCGCTTGGAAACTTTTTTACCATCCGAGAAGTTTTGGCGCGATATCATCCAATGGTACTACGTTTCATGCTCTTGGGTGCTCATTATCGAGCGCCAATAAATTACACTCAAAAAGCTCTCGAGGAATCCTCTGATCGCTTGTACTATATTTATCAGACACTTTTGGATGCCCGCGCTGCTTTGGAGCTCAAAGACGAGGAATTTCGAGCTGAACTGGAGAATTCCAAGCTTAAATTATCTCCACTTGCAGCAGATGCTAAGAAGCTCGCAGAGGAAACAAAAGTCAGCGTTGCGCAAGCTTTATACGATGACTTAAATACGCCGCTCGCAATAGCTTCATTGTCGGGACCATTGAAAACTACGAATGATTTTTTGACGACGAAAGCGGGGAAAAAAGCCGTCGGTCGACTCTCTGCTTTGAGCTCCCTCGTGAGTGAGTTGGAAAACACTTTGTCGATTCTCGGTCTACCAACAGCTGTCGATAAGAGCACTTCTATTTTAGCAGAACTTAAAGCTCTGGCCCTCAAGCGAGCTGGATTAGAAGAGAAAGACTTAGAAGCGCTTATGGCACAAAGAGCTAACGCTCGCGCGGCAAAGAATTTCGAGGAATCCGATAGATTAAGAGAAGAATTAGCGTCGAAAGGAATCGGCTTGATGGATGGCGGTGGCGGCGACGATGCGTGGAGACCAATTGTTCCAGCTGAAATGTGATATTATTATTCTTATTATTCTTAGTTTACAACGCTATAAGAAAACAAAGTCTTCTATATCTTTCGCGAGCGTGCATTCTCCACTTTCATATTTCACGAGCGAGTTAGGGTCAAACGCGTTCAATGCCTGCAATAATCCATCGGGCTTTGTCCACGCGACGTGTCCCAAAGATGCCAACGTTTCCGCCAACTCTACCTGATGGTTATCCATCAAGGATTCATTCACGACGACTAGCGTAGGTTTTCCCAACGATAAGGACTCGAAAACACTACCAGCGCCGGCGTGTGAGATGACCAAAGACGCCTCCTTTAAAATGGCATCTAAAGAAGGAAGAAACTCGACGACTTGAACTTTAATAGCAGAGCTTCTTTCCGACGACGTTGAAGTAACTATGTGCTTCGGCAGGTACGTGCCTCTTCCGCGTTGGATGGTGAGAGAATCGTACCCTCGTTCGATGAGCGTTTGGATCAATTCCTCCGAGTCCATGGCTTCAACGAGCGCATCGAACGATGTCGTGCCCACGGTGACAAACACACTCTTCTTCTTCTTCTTCTTCTTCATCTTCTTCTGTCCGACATCTTCGGACTTGTCCAGCTCCTTTTTTTCTGTGTGCTTGCTTCTGTGGAGAAAAGTGCTGCAAAAAAAGCTGAACACCAAACAAAACAAAAAAAGAAAATCACCGTGCTTCCCTCCAATACCTCCTCTCTGCTGCGAGAGCGGTGCGCGGTTGCTCCCCTTTTAGACCACCTTCATGTCGTGGCAAACGACAGCGAATGACCGTCTTTCTGATTACAAAGAAAACGCGATGAAGAAAATGTCCGCCACGACCAGCAGAAGCGGCGGCAACGACGTCGAAGCGCGAGCGAGGAAAGAAAAAAACACAGAGGAAGATGGCAAAGTCGAATCGTTGTTGTTAAAAAATATGGCGCCGCCCCCGAACGAAGATGATGACGAGAACGATGCGGATGCAAACATCGTCGACAGATGTTGCAGAGTGATGAGGGGAGAGAGTTGTAAAAAGTTTGGGCTTTGCTGGCTTTTACTTCTTTTCTCCTTCTTCATGATTGGTTCGGTTCTTCTCTTTTGGGAAGATATGCACGCGAATAACAGAGCAGCGGTTGGCAGGCCTCTCGTAAGCGAAGCTGCAGACGAAAATGTGGCCGAGGAAGCCGAGGAATTCGGAACTTCGATAACAGAACTGGCAGAAGAACTAAAAGACGAAGCTTTAGAAGCAGAAGTAGTAGATCCCGCGGCGTTTCAAGGTAGCAACGATGACGCCCACTAACGCGCCTATGTTCGTTTCACGTGTACAAAAATTATTCTTATTCTTATTAAATTGCATTCGCTACATTCGACTTATGAGAAAGAGCTGAAGTGGAAACTGCACACAGGCGGCAACTAAAAACACGTAATTTGTTCCTTTCGACTGACTGTAACCGCCGGTTGAATTGTATCCACTACCGCCGTTATTTTGACTCGCCCGATTCCTGGCTTCGCTAAACGTTATTCTTTTCATCGTTTTGACTATAAATATAGAGCTCGCTAACGATCCCCACGCTATGGATGTCCAACCAAACCATCCTTTTATGCTTTTCGCAAACAATCCGCACGATGCGAGAAGAAAAGTATAACCAGTGTAACTCAATATGTCTAAGCTAGAAGCTGTGTTCCCGGCTCCGCAACTCCGAAGGGAAATCACAAGAAATAACCAGTGGCAAAACCACGCTAGGCTCGCCCACCACGCATGCTTCGCGACGGAATCCGGGGTGAAATTTGAAAAGATGAAGGATTGGCGGAAGCAGGAGAGTAAAACGTACGTCCAATACGAACAGAAAGGAATGAACAAGTCCGGGGCATGTACATCTGATCGAGGTGGCTTGTATCGCGTCCCAACGGAGTGAACGTTCTCCGAAACTCGCGCCCAGCTTCCACGAGCTAAGAAAGGGCACAATACGAGCCGTATTTTATGAAAGCAGTACGTTTCCGTAACGTCAAAGTACACACGAATGCCTTCGCTCGTGAAGTACCTTTGCATAAAATTTGAGCCGGAAGATACGAGCTTTTCTCCGTACGCTCCTAAGCCGGCTCTGGCGAGAGAGTTTGGACTGGTTGGGAAGAATGTATTTTCTCCCACGCTGTTATTTCCCCAGTGCTGATTCGT